AGCGACCTGCCGAGTACCTTCAGGAGCTTCACGCACCAAACAGCCGAATCAACATGAAGCGACCCATAAAATGCAAGAGAAACATGGAGCAACATGCCAAGGGGAAATGAGATGCACGGACAAAGACAAAGGAAAAGAGCGACCATAAGACCCAGCATGCGGTTCACTGGCAGTTCGACTCATGGGCCAGACGTTAACAGGGACGGAGCGCTTAACCTGGCATATTGCCTCAGGAATGAACAGTATTAACCTGGTGCAAACGAAAGTGAGTAAGCCAAAAACTTGGTTTGATAAGGAGCTACACGATGCATGAAAGTTAACGAACTGGCGATTGAAGGTCGAAGAGCACCCATGAAAGGTTCCAGCCCCAGAATCAGTCCAAGCCCCGGAGCCTCCTTAAAGGCCGTTCATAGCTTAGTACTAAAGACGCGCATACCTTGCCTTCGTGTATTCATATGATTAGGCTTTGCAAGGATCCTCTGATGAATGACGCATGAATTTGGTGCCTTTCGTGCCGATACATGTTCACCATTAGGAAAGATCGGGTCTCACAACAAAATGGGAGAGGGCTCCAAGCTCCAGGATGATACACTTGATGCGTGGTGCAGTCCTGGTGCATTACAACACTTATATTAAGAAGCCGCCGTTGAAAGAAGTCCTTTGTCGGGGCGGTTTCACGGGTCCTTTGATGCGGCAACTTGTCAACGGTGGCTTTGCTGTTCGTCTGTTCACACAATAATCATATGGTAAGGAGGGAAACGATGCATGACTCGCGTGCGCGTGAGAATATATTTTGCAAACTAGCGAAACCATGGAAAATGAAAAGAGTGACCGTCCAAAACTGATACGAGTATAGCGGCGCTCGCAAAAATACTGAAGAAAAAACCCCATATACATATGTATATACATATATATATGCTACCCCCCCCCCCCCCCCCATGCGCCCACGCTTCAGCATGGTTTCCAGACAAAAACACTACGTTCCGCCACGCGCGGTGGTTTTTAAAGGGGGGAGGGACTCCCATAAAACTCCAGCAGAAGTGACCTGAACAATTTGCTCGAGATTGTGGATTGCATGCTATGAGTTTAAATAGAAATCCTATGCATGTGAATAGCGTTCCTATCAAATTTAATTGGGTTCATAGGATTCATCTTGTTTCAATAGGAATCTTATAAAGATGAAAAGGAAACCCATTAATAGGAATGAGAACCCTTAAGTCTATCAAATTCTATAAGAAGCCTATTCAAATGACAGAATAAAATTGATAGGAATCATATTACATTTGTAGGAGCCTTATTAAAATAATTAGGCAAACTATGGAAATGTATTGGAATCTTATACACAGAACAACAGGAATCCTCTATTTCAATCCATAGGAACCTTAGAAAAAGTAGAACCCAATTATACTTGATAGCAATCCTAATAAACTGAAGAGGGCCTCTACTAAACTTAATAGGAACCAATGGGACTCCTATAAAAAAAGTGTGAACCCCTAAATAATAGGAATCCTACTAAAATTAATATGAGCCTAAACCAATCGGTATCCCTTTCAAACGAATGCGATCCATTAAAATAAATACGAATCCCATTAACATGAATAAGCATCTGATTAAAATTGATTCAGTTTGGTAAGGGTTCCTATTCTTTTTAATAGGCTTCCTGTTAACTTTTCTCGGTTCCGAAAAATATTGGCAGGATTCCTAGGAAGTCAATAGAGGATTCCTATTTATTGTTATAGGATTCCAATAAAGTTTCATAGGGTTCCTAATTCTTTTAACTGCTGTGGGCTCATCGTTGAGGGCTTTGAGTTTAATTGTAGTGTTTCGGATTAGCCTTTTTTGGGGGAGGGGGGGGGGAGGGTTGAGGGTTCGGCTTAGGGTTCTAGGCGGCCAGGAAGAACAGCTTTGTGATTAGTGCAGGTCCGGTCCCAAACATAGGTCCCTGAGGTGGTGGATCAGAATCTGGCGCGGCTTTTTGTTTAGGCTGCTGGACTACCCTACTTGAAAGTGATAGTTCACAGGAATCCTGTTAAAATGAGAAGGAATCTTGCTAAATGAATAGGAACCAATAGGACTCCTGTATAAAATAATGTGAATCGGCTAAAAAAATTGGTTTTTTTGGGACAGTACAGCGTTTTTGCAGTCCCAGGCCTCGAAAGTGCTGTACTGTCTAAAAAAAAACCAATCTTTTTAAGGCAAAAAGTGCAAAAATGCTGTACTGTCCAAAAAAACCAAAAAAAACCAAAGTTTGGAGACCTTGGGCTCCTCCAGGGCCTGGAGGTCTCCCAACTTTGGTTTTTTTTTGGGACAGTACGGCATTTTTGCATGTTTTGGCTCAAAAAGATTAGTTTTTTTGGGACAGTACAGCATTTTTGCTTGCTTTGGCTTAAAAAGATTGGTTTTTTTGGGACAGTACAGCGTTTTTGCAGTCCCAGGCCTCGAAAATGCTGTACTGTCCCAAAAAAACCAATCCCTTTAAGGCAAAAAGTGCAAAAATGCTGTACTGTCCCAAAAAAACTAAAAAAAAAAAAACAAAGGTTGGAGACCTTGGGCTCCTCCAGGGCCTGGAGGTCTCCAAACTTTGGTTTTTTGGTTTCTTTGGGACAGTACGGCATTTTTGCTTGTTTTGGCTTAAAAAGATTGGTCTTTTTGGGACAGTACAGCGTTTTTGCTCTTTTGGGCCTAAAACATTGGTACAGTGCTCGCTGCTCTCTAAACCCTACCATGGCACCTGAGAGGAAAAAGTGTGGGCATATGGGGGGGGTACCATATATATATATATATATATATATATATATCTACTCATATATATTTATTGGTTAGTAATTTAAAGTCGCGCGCAACAACCTTTGGATTCGTTTATGTAATTTAACTTGGGCGTTTAATACATTATAACAATATTAAACTACTGAAAGACGAGTGAATCAATGAGTGAATTGTTCGCCCTTTGCCTTTTCCTTTTCGTTCGATGTTGCATGACTACGAGTGTTTTCTTGCAACTCAACTTAATATGGAACGAAGGAAAGAAGCAAGGAGACGATTCCATGGGAAGGAGAGTTCACCCTTAGAAGCGAGGCCACACAAATACGTGGCGAGAATAATCAACATCTAAGGCACGGCAGATGGCTGCAACATGCGTGAAGAGAATCTCTCTCGCTGGCACCACCCAATCTTTGTGGGATTTCCTGCCGAGCAAAGCCTAGCTGTCGAAGCACTCGAAAGCCCAGCAACGCTCTGAACACCGCCAAACAATGATGACCAGAAGCTTTCCCAAGTTGAGCCCCCTCAGCCCTCGGTCCTCTTCCAAAACTGCATGATTATCTGCATCAGCTTCCCCACCAAGGATTCACGGCGCATTTCCTCCAAAGCTTTCCGCTCCTCCAACGGAGGTTATACGATCAAGGCTTTATTTTAAGCAGAGGGTATTGTTGAACCCGCGCCAGCAGGGCCCCCCTGAACAAAGTCAAGTTTGCCGGGCTATTCAGCATCCTGATATGAAAACTTGTCTCGATCAGTCCGGCAAAGGGGTGGTCCAGGGAGCCAGCCTGACCTCCGATTGTCATGGGCACTGTTTCGGGCCCTCTTTTGGATTTCGATGACCCGGCCACTAGCTTAAGCGCCAATTCTTTCGAATCACAAGGCAGGACTCGGAACCCTGGCACTGTTTTGGGACCCTCTTGTGCGTGCAGGGCCCCTGCCTTTTTGATTTGGAAGCGGCCTGTTTAGGGTTAAAGGCCAAGCTGGTGACAATGGCCTCTTGGGCTCTTGAATTCTCAACTCCAGTGGGCTTCCGATTTCTGACCTCTTGGGGAGCCTCTTGGGTTCAAGGCCAATCTTAAGGCAAAGGTGGCTTACACGGGCAGAGACCGATGATCCCTTCCAAGATGGGTTGGGGGGGGTCCCTAAGCCTTCAACCCCTCAGGCTGTTCTTCTATCCAACCCCTCTGAAACTTGTCAAAAAAATCCCGGGGGCCGTTCAAAGAGGGCCAGATATCCGCTAGATATCGCAGTCCTTCGCCCCCCGACGTAACACCGATGCAAGCCCACCAGTCTGCGCAAAGTAACCTGACGTGGCACGGTTGCTGCAGTCACTGCAAACTCTCGTCTCATTTTGTCCCTGACTGTCTACGCCCTCGCCTTGGTCGCTGTTGAACGAACTGTCAGAGTCCGAGAAATTCAGTCTGGCCCCGCGAAAGTCCTGCGATGTGGTCGTAGCCTTGCATCTTCCAGCAGCCAGCTTTCGTGTACCGAATGAGGGGAAGCGGGCAGCGTTTGAAAGAGATGTGTTCATCTGAGGATCGGGCCCAGGCAGCCGTCCGTTGAAGGAAGTCCTTGACAGCGCCACCCTCAGCATCTGATGCTTCGGAGCCTCGGAGACGCCCAGAATCCCCTCGGCAGCCACACAGCAGCCCCCTGAGCACCTGCTTCATTCCCATCCTCTGCATTTGCCGCATCTTCATCCGCCTGGCCTGTCACTGTGCTTGCAGTGCTGCGAAACATGGAAACCGTGGAAAGATGTGGATGCAAAAGAATGCGAATCTGAAAAAGTAAGAAACATTGCAAAACATCGACCTGAGCTTTCCGCTCCAGTCAGACCTGAGCGTAGCTGCACGCGACGAGGTTCCAAAGAACTCCTTTGACTCTTGATAGACAGGACACTCGCAAGTGGCTCCACCGTGGGCTCCACCTCCTCCGTCCCATGGTCGCCCATGGCAGGCTCATCTGTACATATCTGTACAACAGCTCGACATGCCTAGCCAACTTAAAAGCTCTAAACAGCGGCGAGCAAAACTACGATTCTAGCAGGCTATGCTGCGCCATCTTTCTTCATGGTTTTCGAAAACTCCATGTCTTGGTTCGCCGCACATCCATCTACAAAAGCGAACAAGCTGTAAGCTTTGACACGCAGCATGGACACATCAGGTCTGCTGATGTCTGCTGAACCGCAAACGCAAGAAGTAACGCCAAGAAGGATGTACTTGCTGTCGACCTTGTCGCGCCTCCTGGTAAGTACTCGTGAGCTGCTCCATCATTTCCTGATAAACGATCAGGGCGCGTCTGGTCCCCTGCTAGAGTGGGTCTCTGAACCCACCCTGTGGTAGGGCTGTGGGGTTTGGAAGGTCAGGGTCTCAGGGTTTGGACTTATTGGCTTAGGGTTTTCTTGAAAACTTACGGTTTCGGCGTCGGGTTTGAGTTTAAGTTTGGTTTTTCGGGCTTAAGGCCTAGGGTCTGGGGGACAGCGAACGTGAAACCATGATCACACATGGCGGCTACGAAAACAGATGAGGTGCGGTTAAGGAGCATGTAGCTGCTTCTCTCGCTGCATGTAGCCCTGAGACAGGAAGTGCCCGAATGTACAGATCAAGCAGAAGCATCAGAGCCCAAACGGACAGATCAACAAGAAGTGTCAATCTCCGGCCCCAGTATCATTCTCGAGAAATTCCCACATTTGTCTGAGGCCCGAGTCACGAGATAAATTGCTCAGCCGAAGAACGGTGCGAACATGCACCGAAGCACTCGAAACCAAGGTCTCTTATCTCGTCATTCGTCCAGGAGTCTGAGAGTTTCGAGGTGTCTTCAATAACCCCGAACAAGACCTTTGAGACGAGGTTTCGCAGCGTTCCACCTCATGAAGAGAAGGCGTGCTAGTCCTATTCGCTGAATTCTGTTTACAATCGCCCTTTGCTCCTGCATCAGCTCGGCTACTCGCTGAAGCTCGTTTCGTAGTGCAATGACCTTGCATCAGGCAGTTTGCGCTGGGCTAACACACAAGATCATGACTGCTGAGATCACATGATCCGTCGAACGCTCATACAGGCATGGCCATCAAGCAGAACAAGCCTCCTGATACATGGCGGTGACCTCGCGCGTGTGCTCCTATCCGGAAGCTGGACTCTGACAGGAGCTGATGCCTTGTTGAGTTGGGGAAGCAGCTCCACTACTGTTGCTCAAGATGCGTGTGTCTTCACTGGATCCTGCGTGAGCTGCGCCACGAGCCTAAGGCTGCTCACATGAGAATTTGACAACAACAAGGCCAAGAAAGCGAATTAAATCGAGACTAGCAAGGACGCACAGACTTGGGCAGCCCACTCGTTCGCCAGATTCGAAGCAACTTCGCGGAAAGTGCTGCCGGCCTCGACTTCGGCACTCTCAGAAGAATCGATAAGCCCGATCAGGGGCGCCCACTGTGGAGCCGGCTGCATAATTCATTTGGGCCGTAGCCCCCTGTGACCCTTAGCTGAACCCGACTCACCGGCAAGGAGTGGCGCACAAAATTTGCCAAAGTGATGCCAAGAAAGTGCACACCAAGCAGCGCGCGGCCATCGAGCCTACGCCTCTGCAATCCCGCTATCCCTGAGGTCGAAGACGACAAATTGAATACTTTGGGCAGGGACTGAAACGCGGGCGGGCGCATCGAGAGCCGCTTCAGCAACTTCAGCAGTTTTGGCAAAGAACTGTTGGCAGCTTAGCAGCAGAGCTTGCGATTGGCACGCACGGCAGCCTTTTAAATCGAGTGGCTCAGTGGGAACTCACGTTGCCCCGAGCTCGGGTGAAACACCTACGACCTACGAATGCTCGAAAAGCGCTTCGGCCAGTTGGACTGGAAGCTACTCGTCAGTCATCAAACTTCTTCTCTGCCAAATTTGGACACCCGCAAATGCAGCGAGAGCTGACGCAGGTCAACCTGGGCGAAGGAACCCTGCAAAGGAGCCTCAAAGGCTCGGAGGCTGCGCCAAGCACCAAAAGGTCTGTCGTTGAACTGTTGAACCCGTTCCGTAAGGGCCCACAGCTTGCCCAGCACAACATGCGGAATGCTTACATTGCAGCCGAACTGGAGGGGGCTTGCCGGGCATGCCTCGTCCAGCGGCCCATTGTGACCACAGTCGACGTGCATGACGTACCCTGCGACAGACCTGGCAATGCACATCTCGAGTCTGTGCCGAAGATCGGCCACATTCTCCGAAATACAGCCTGGCCTGTCGATGACAGGGCGTGGTTCGCCTTGCACCTGGATAACTCAGCAGTATTTACTCTGCATATAGACCGCAGACACATGCAGATCATGCAAGCACCATGACGCACCAAATCGGCATCAGCAATCAATGCCGGATGCACAGGGTTCTCGCTGATCTCCGCCAAGTCAACACTCCTTAGTTCCGTGTTCAGTCATAGTTCCGTGTTCAGTCACCGCACAGCCCTTAGAGTGTGCGAAAGCGCGATCGCAAGTTCTCCTTCTCACATCGGATTGCGCAGCTTGCTTGTAGAATTTGCATTCGCTTGCCCTTGTCTGTCAGCACCCTCAACAAATTGCCGGTTGAACGGGCCGGTTGAGCACGACAATGAGCCCACGAATTACGACACTTTCGGGGGACCAGGTCCCGGGCTTGAAGAATGCCGCGAGGGTGGACACAAAGCTGCCGATTTCATCCAGGTTCAGAATGATTGTGCGCACCAGTCGATCCAAGTGTTCCTGCTGCCCATCGTTACCTTAGCACACAATCCGTCACAGACCCGTGCGTAAATCTGCATGTGCAGCTCCGCTTGCGACACTCTGGAGAAGTGTCGACAACCAATTTACGCCCCTTTCACTCTGCTTTTGGTAATCTATGCTACCCCAACCTGACTATCCCGGCTGCCGCAAGAAAGTGGCAGTTAGGGTAGGGGCAGTATGGGAAGCAGATGCAGGTGCATGAAGCCTTGAAGAAACGGCGTGATACATCTTGAACACGAACTGCCCCGCTGAACTTTCAGCCAAAACACCCTGGATGCACAGGTTGCCAAGTGCCCCTTGCAAAACACTTTGTCGCCGCCGGAATTCACGCCAAACCACCTAGGAGCAAAACACAGCTGGAGAGAGAGACAATGATCAATGTTTGCATAGATCATCGTGCCCATCTTGGCGGCGAGCGGTCACTCTTGCGCGTGCAAGATGTCTGTGGAATTGGGCGAGGTTCTCCTGACAGTCTACATAGTCACGTGCATTACATGACTGAACCGAAATAGTGCCTGCACGGCTAAAGCTTGACCCGGACATGCTTGAATGCCCCTTGTAGCAGTGATCTGGCTTTGTCCAGAGCTACCCAGAGCTACCCAGACGGTCCGGGTGGAGGGTGCTCATCATCTCAGCCAGACGGCTCTGACCTGCGTGCCAGGTGCCGGGTCCACGTCAGCTCTGGTCGCCGATAACGTGGGGCTGTGTACCGGTGCTCAGTGCATGGCCTAGCTGTCGAGCACTCACCTCATCCTGCGAGGTAGATGAACAATGGTGACCATTGGACATCTCTTGAATCTTGAATACATTGGGTACTCTTGACCATTCTTGACTGGTATGGACGTGATATCTCAGCGCCTTCGACAGGAAGCTATCAATTTCAATCAGGCCGGAAGGGATCTCCTGGCGAGAGGGCAGGACACAAGCACGATCTTGTGGCGAAGCGCTTGGAATCATCACATTCTGAGACATCCGGAGTTCCTCTACAAACAGAGTGACCGGGAGCGACCGCTGCAAGGACGAGGAGCAGAACATGAAGAGCACACATGAGCACACCATACAAAGAGCTTCAGTTCATTCTCATGGCCACCGTCCTGGCCCAGTGACAAGAAGGCAAAGTCACATCCCTCTGCTCGCGGATTCCCCGTTGCACCCCACACCTGCACGGCACGCCAGAACAGAGCCGCCACACTGTCCGACAAGAAGCAAAGCTTTTTGGACCTGCATGTTGGCCAGCAGGCATCGAAGTGCATGGCCTTGGCGTGTCACACAGTGGAATCTGTTGAGAACGCGATGCTTGGGAAGGGAACTAGGCCGAGGTCGTGGCAAAGGTTGCCTCGGGTTTCGAGCACCTCACCCAGGGTCTGGCCTCCTCCCTCGATGCCCTCACACACCACCTCCAGCAAGTGGTGGAGCCTCAGACTCTCTCAACCAGCAAGTTCTAAACACAATATCGTAACACGTCGAATTCTAAACACAATATCGTAACACGTCGAATTGAGAGCGACAAATTCCTGAAGCCCTTCCACGTCTTGCTGCCGCTCTGCTGATCTTCGAACGGTGCCAGCGCCGAGCGTACTAGCTCCACATTGTCCTCTCTGCAGACCGAGAGTGCGCAATTCTTTTTGATCCTGCGAGACTTTTGGCACTTTTGGCACTCCGGCACTCCTCCAGCCAGGCAGTTCCAGCGCGCTCGAAGGCAGGTCCTTGGACACACATGACTCGCTATGTAACAACTTGTACTGTTGTATGTGCTTCAATGATTATTTCTCAGGTGCGGCACCACCCGCATTCCCACAAGCTCCGCTGCCTCGGAGTGCAAAAACGGAGAGTGGCACAGTGGCACATAGTGGCACAGAGCGGGGACGGAGTGGGGAACGAAGCGGTCAGCGGGGAGTGGCCCGAAGTGCGCCACATGTGTAGCTTCGAGGCTCATGCTGGCAAGTTCCGCTCGGGCAATGAGGCTGCCACGGGCGACAGACTGTGCATCAGCATTCTCAGCCTGGGAATCCACATGTCCATCATCTGTTGAATAAGACTCCCTTCCAGCCCTCGCATGCAGCTGCAAGTAAGGCGGCAACCTTTACGCGAACCTTCAAATCAGCTTGAGCTAACATGCGTTCCCCCCTCAGCACGACCTGGACTCCGCCCATAAGAAACTTGCCCAGCTTGCAGTGGCACTGCCCTGTACTCAAACTGTCGCGCGCACCGAATCCTGGACGACGACTTGACGAGCTGGCCTGTGCAGCTGATACGCTGTAACACGCACACAACCCCTTTGAAAGGGGTCACCTGATCCAGCAAGCAGCTCACAATACACAGAAGCACTCACCGAGCTCTGCACCGCCCGGAAAACCTGTCTGAAAGGTCCTCCCAATCAGCAACTGAAAGTACGGTTTTGTGCGGGCCACAACATCTGCACACCTCTTCACCCTCGCACAGGGCAAAAAGGTCATCGAAGAAGCACCAAGCCTGACAGAGATCTGGATTCGTCTTGCCGGTTCCGCAGCGCAGCCTGCACCTCAGCGAAGCTGTTCAGCGTGGCGTCATCCAGGTTCAGGCGCTCCTCTTGATGCGACCACGAAAAGTGATGCGCAAACACCCCTTTTCGGTCGGACATGTCTTGCTTGCGATGCAAGCGATCGGTGCGCATGGCCGGTCAACGCGCTCGCAGAGTACAGGGCGTACTGTGGGACAGGTTGATCCAGACGAGCTTGGGAAGTGGCATCCACATCCCACATCCCACCGATCCCCCATACCCACCCCATACACGGAAACAGCTGCGCGCGTCGTTCAAAACAAAAATGACGGCGCTCAGCGCAGCACAGCGGAGGCCAAAAGGCGTCCCAAAAACCGAGCATCAACAGCAAAGCCCATAGCAAGAGAGCGCTCCCACCTACAAGCCCTAAAAAGCCGTAAACTTTCTCCTAAAATGCCCCCTAAAATCTCAGAAGAACTCGAGGCCTCAGAAAGCAGCTCAGGAGATCTGCAATGCTCCTGATGTGACACACGATCCAGGACCTGCAAAGCCACCTTGGCGCATGTGTGAGGCCCGGTCACTTCACATGTTGGCCTAAAACCAAAAAAATGCGTTTATTTGGGTCCTTTAGGCTATACTGTAGGTGTTTCAACTTGGCGGGTTCACCTCTGAGTCGGAGAACGAAAACGCTCCAACCCAATTGTCAACCAGGTTGACAGTCGCGTTGGTGCGGCGTGGAGCTGAATGTCTCGAGAAGTTTCTTAGAGGCTTTAGACAAAACTGCAGCCAAACATAACATAAGGGCGTGCTAGTTCCGCTACTTGATTGAAGCTTCCTCGACAGCACAGCGGCACAAATGGCACCCAGCTGGGCATACAGCATGCATCACTCACTCTTAAGGGATGTACAGCTGTTCGCAGTGAAGCAAGCTCCAAAATCATTGTGTCCTGCAGGCCATCATTGACTTTCTGTGTCCCTACTCTTGATAAATGAGCGTGCAAGATTGGAGCAAGACGTGGTCCCGAGGGTCGCAGATCAGCACTTTATGACACCGAACCTGGCTTGTCTTGCAAATATAAGGCACCAGTCATGAACTCGGCGACAACCAAGAACAAACTTCAAGACCAGCTAGTGCATGCAGAAGCCTCCACAAAATTCTCTGTGTTGTCGGCAACCATAGACCTGGCGATTGAGCAGTCTCGTAGGAGCTCGCAAAACCAAAGACAAACCAAAGAGGTGATGCAGCGAAGCTCAGCATCCCAGTGTGTCCCAGCTTCACGTAGCGCGCTGGCCGGTGCCTTTTGCCCCTTTGCTTCAGTCAGATGTTTCCATCGACCGCTTACCCATCTGTTTTGTGTATGAGGGCTGCGTTGGCTTGTGTCGGCCTCGCTGGCCGCAGCGCGCAATAAGTCTCCTACAAAGCGCGGCAGTACCAACAGTGAAAAGATCATGTAAAACTATTTGAGCGGAGGCTTTGACTCTCGCTGAACTTAAACTATTTCATGGTACGGAACGACCCGAAGGCCATTTTGCCCTCGGTGCACATTAGCTATCCTCCGCAGAGGCATGCTGGATGTATCGGAAAGCCACCGAAACCTGGAATGGTTGTACCTCCGGCCTCAAATGACAAAGATGAACAGAATACGAGATACTTCTTCCAGCTTGTCAGCTCTTTCTGTAAGGTCAAGCCCCCTATAGCTTGCCAAAAAGTAACTCCCCAAAGTCATTGGCATGTCTACCCACAGCCGCATGCCAGCGCAATCTGCACAAATCGAACATGCGTGGTTTTGTCCCATAATACCACCGGCTTCCTGGCATCTTCCTGACAGCAGCTGCTGGTTTCTTAGTGGCTTTCCGCACTTGCGCTCTCTCTTGCCCCATCAGAATCACGGAAAATCTGGGTGCCGCGTTCAGGCACCTACGAGAATCTTGATGCAAAACGATGCAAACCGCCGACAGCAGAAGCATGAAAAAGCATGACACATGGCACGACAGCGGCGCCTCTGACTCTGACTGGGCAGGCCTTTCGGGCGCACCAGGCGCCTGCGCAGGAGGCTGAAGTCGGAAGCTCCCTCCGCCAGCAGTTTCCCCCAAGAAGACATGCAATGAACTGGGTCCTTTGGACGGGATTCGGCCCGCAGCTTGACCTGTCCAACGGCCAGGGAACCGAAAGGCCCAAATCTTCACCGAAGCAGTGCTGCCTTCTCGCGCTGCGATTGCCAGGGCCAGCCCGCCACCTCGCTGGGCATTCCACGATCCTTCGACAAAACGACATGTAGACCACATCTGACATGCACCACCAAATGCATGAAAATGTAATGCAGCATGATGCAGTTGTCATGTTGCGCACCTCTGGCCCACACAAGGAAGGGGTCAGAGCCCGCCCTGCTGCACGATTGACACAACAGAACCGTTTCCAGAATCCCACATTGCGGGACTGCACGGGAATGCATTGCGGAACGAACCTCGCCATGCATCGAGCAAAAGCCGCGTGGTGCCCTGCGGCCCCTGTGGCCAAGGGACTCGAAGCCTCAGATAGAACGTGGCAGCCCGCTTGCACAGCAGTAAACAACGAAACGATCACAAGCCCATCTCGACCACGCGCTGAAGCCCCAGTGGTGCCACAGGACATGGCATGGTCCGATGACCGCTCAGCACTTGAGCCTGTCCCAAATTGTGGCTGGCACATTGGGCAGCAAGCAGCACACCACGCACATCGCCTGCACTGCGAGCCACCGAGCCGCGACTGCCGGATTTCGGCAAAACACGGCCTTGCGCCAAAGCTGTGGACATGGATGCCGAATGTGTGTAACGTTTTTGTGAATCTGGTTGTTATGTGCCGTAATCAGTTTTAAACTTGTAAATATGTGGCTTTAGGGTGAGAGCATGTCGGGACATGTATTCTACTCTTGAGAGTATTGGCTGCTGGCTCGGTCGTGACGGATGGCTTTCACGACATAAACCACGACAACGATAACGACAACGACAACGACAACAACGACAGCGACAACGACCTCGACCACGACAAGGACGTGCACACAACAGCTACAGCAACAGCACCGACAGCAACAGCAACAACAGCAACAACAGCAGCGCCGCACGCAGCAACAACAGCAACAACACGAACAGAAGCAAGAACAGCAACAGCAGCAAGGACGAGAGAAGACAGCAGCACGGACATAGAGCTCAGTTGGTTGAAAAAATCAAGAACGGAACATTAGCTAATGCTGGACGCAACTTGGTTGCCCTGTTTTGATTAGTTTTCCCAAGGCCTGCCCGCTGTTGCTCAGAGCCGCTCCACGACAAAGCCGACTTGATGACTTCTTTGTACGTAATCCTGTCACAACATGGTGCACACTGCGGAGTCAGTGCGGTCCTGCTGTCAAAAGAACTACGAGCCGGCGTGTTTGTTACCCCCGGGTCTGAAGTTACCCCAGACCCCTAGCACAGAAGTTACCCCACTTGCGCCGAAGTTGTCCCCGAGGCGGTTCCCTGAGGGCACAGTGGCGTTCAAGAGCCACGTTTCCAAAAACAGTTTCGGACTTCACACCACCGTACCTTCGAGATTGCTTCTTCCCAGCACCCTCAACACAAGGCAAATACATCTTCAACTGTTGGCCCCCACGCAGGGCCCGGGCTCTTTTTCTTTAAGAACACAGCTAGATTACTACTGTATGACTCCCCCTAGTAGTGCCCAAACCTGACCCTATTACTGCCCAAACCTGATCCTGAACCCTATTACTCCCCAAACCTCATCCTGAAGCCTAAACCCACAAGAGCTGGCAGCAGCTGGCTGCGCACAACTTTCTAGGTTTCCTGTCCGTGTTAACCTCAAACAACATCCGAACCGCTTTCTTGAATTTGGTTGGCTTGAGAACGTCCACTTTGCACCAGGGTCACTTTCAAAGTCGCTCTAAGTCATGATGCTGGGGGGTTCAGGTTTTTGCGTTCTAAGTAAATAGGCTTGTTCAGACGCTGCATGTGGTTGCAATTTGGGCATTCTCGAAAGGCTTGCGGGTTGTAAAATGGGCGTTCTGGTTGTAAAATGGGGAACACACCCCTGCCCCCCCCACCCCCCCTCCTACGGTCCATGCCCCCCCAAACCCAAAGCCCCAAAATCCTAAACCCTGAGACCCTAAACGTCAAGAAACCGTAAATCCCAAAGCCCTAAAACCCTAAACCCTAAAGCCCTAGAACCCTAAACCTTAAACCCCCTAAACCCAGAAGGTATAAACCTACGCCCTCACCCTACATAAGCCCTAAAACCCTACAACCCAAAACCTCAAACCCAAAACCTCAAACCCTGAACCCTAAACCCAAAAACCCTAGAACCCTAAAACCCTAAAAGGCCTAAAAAGCCTAACACCTCAAGGGTAAATCCTAACAACCCTTAAGCCCCACAACCCTAAACCCTACAACCAACCCACACCCAAAAACGATAGGAGGTAGTGCATGCGTGAGTCGGAGATTTTTGCACCCTCTCCCCGTCACCAGGAAAGCTTGTAAAGTTGAAAAGAAACTGTCATGGTTGGTCAAGTACATACGCACACTTACTTTCTCCGAAAGCAAGGATTGCATTCTACTCTCCCAGCGAAAACAGGTTGATTGAGAGGATATGAAGTACTGCCTAGTGCGTTTAACAAAATCCTTATCATGAATGACGACATGACCCACATTGGAAACGTTGGGAAGCTGTTGGGAAGCAATGAGAACAGCAAGATGTCTGCGTTCAAGTAGCCTGCTGGGAGGCTTTTGGAGACCGGAAACTAAAAGATACCTGCTCACAGTGTTCTCGTTTCAGTATTCTCGTTTCCCAGTGACTTCCATAAAACGGATCTGTTCTTGTCCCGTCTCTTCCTCCGAATATTCAGAAGCCTCACTGTCATCACCGGAGGTGTATAGGTTGTCAGAACCTCCAAATCCCCAAAGCCACTTTTGGACCCCTTTTTTTTGCCTCAAATGGGTACCCGCCCTAGGAAACCCGGGTCCGCAAACGGACGGTTCGCCAGGACCAGAGGCAAGTTCAAGCCCCTCCCAGCAGGGCCCCCCCCCCCCTTCCCCCCCCCTCCCCCCCCCCCCCCCCTCCCCCCCCCCCCCCTCACCCCCCCCCACCCCCCCCCCCCCCCCCCCCCCTGCCCCCCCCCACAGCCACCACAGAAGAGTGGTGAGCGGGTTTTAGACTCAACTGGTGTGAGCACGGCCGGGGATGCATTACACGAGCAGAAGAATCTAAGCTTGACCCTAAACCTTAAACCTTAAACCTCAAACCTTACAAGCCCGAAGAACACCCAAAGCGTGAACCTTGAGCCCTAAGCCCTCAATCCTAAACTAACCCTCAACCCTAAACCCCAAACCATAAACCATAAACCATAAACCCGGAACCCTTTTTGCTTCAGGGCTCCTGTGGTAGCCCTAAACCCGGAACCCTAAACCCTAAACCCAACCCTTATTGCTTGGGGTCCAGCGCCTTGGGCGCTGCGGAATCACCATGCTCACGCGGATGCGCTGGGCCGGGCCGAGGCGGGTCGCGTAGCGTTAAAATTAGTCGCGAGCCCCATTTTCCCAACGATTCCATCGAGTTATATGGATATTGGGAGTACTGGATGCCCATGCACAAAGACATGCAAGTAACACAGTTTTTTGTATGGCCAAGCTTGTCCAAACGTGTGAAACCACAACAACCCGGCAAATAAATTCATATGTGAGACAAGCCCCTACAACATAAAACATCTCCTCGGCAGAATAAAACAACACAGTCAAATTTGTTGACAACGCAAGACGGCACATCTTCAAGACTTCTCAACCATTGTGTCGGTTTATGTGTAGACGTTCTTCGGCCGAACTTCAGCCCCTCAACTGCATGGAAAAAAAACTACCCCAAAAACAATGTGTTCCCAAGCATAACGGCTATACCCCAAAACCAAAGCGCTCAAAGGGAAAGAGCCTTACCTCAAAGTACAAAAGCAAATTAAGCACCATTGCTGAGTAAGAAGCATGCCGAAACAAGAACAAACCTGCCGCTCTGACATTCCTGTCAAAGAAGGTCCATGTGCTCATACTTATTTGCCACTTCCACTTACACAGATAGCCCTTGCGATATACGCACGTCGAGTTTGCATGGTATCTGAAATAGCCTGGCTGGAAACTGAAGGAGCCAAAAGATGCCCCACAAAAAACCTCCGCTTTGCTTCTTGGTTGATGCCATTCTCTGAAGCGCTTCATGCAACCCCTCTGTCCCATCAGGGTGTAGACGCTGGTCCACAAGAGATCGGAAGACATCCAATGTTGCCTTTCGGAGCACCAGGACACAACACATGCAACTTACGCTTTTGGTTCTGGCATCTTCCAGCCTGCCATTGCTCCGAACGCCGGCAGGTGGTCAGGACCCAATTCCAATCTTGGATGTCCTGCGAACATGGATCTGCTGCTCTTGTGTGCCTCACTATCCTGAGCACGATGAAAGTTTGTAGCCAAGCGCGGGCCAGGACCCGAGCCCACCCTTCACAGAGCTGCAACCCAAGGCCCGCCCCAATGCCAAGAGCTGCATATGTAGGCCTGGCAAACCCTAAGCTGTTGAACGCAAGCCTGAGCTCCTCAAAACTGGGTGCTCAATCCTAAAGCCTGGCAACCCCTTAAGCCTCATCACTCTAAATCGGCCAACCCTACATCCAAGGCATCGTGGCAACTCCAAATGAGAAGACCTTTCCCGAAAGAGTTCCCGCCGTCTGACCCTCTTGGGGGGGTTGAATTACACTCGTTGCCTTGCCTGCTCGGAGCGCAACAGAAGAGAGATGGCGCCCTCCCAGCATAGACCCACGCAGCAGGTGCGGATGGCCGCTGTCAACGCCTCGGAATCCTGGGTGCGTGGCATGGCATTGCTGAGCAGATGCAAAGGAGAAGAAAAGAGTGTGCACACGGTATGTTCTCATGCCTGTGCCACAAGTCGAAGGTGAGACAACAGGCCACTGCGAAGGGCAGTCAGCATCAGCATGCGTCCACTCTGCTTAAGTTCGATGTGTTTCGGATGCTGCAACGTCTGTCCAAGGATTGTGGGGCCACCGACTGTGCAGAAAATGCAAATAACATGTTTGCTAACAGACTTGAAGTGGCAAGCAACAAGAGTTGAAGTTCAAAGGCATTTCAAAGGCGTTGAGTATGCTTCTTGGAGCCCTGTCGAAACGCACGACTTAAATCTGTACAAGCAGTCATGAAACTTGGTGCACGCAAACCCTGCACCCCTTCTGGCAGCACGTCTTTGGAAGCAAAACAATGCTTGCTGCGGTCGTCTGCGGTTGGTGGATTTTCTCTCCACCAGCTAGTGGGGATCGGAAGTGCAATGCGTCAGACTTCCGAATGAATCGAGCGTGGTGCTGCCTTTCTCGGGATCCCCAAAAACTCATGGCAAAACAACGCAGAACACAAGCTTGTCCAGCTGAAAACGGATTGCGTTGGTCTGGCGTTGCTCAGTCTACCCGGTCCAACGCCGTCCAGTCCATCAGGAAAACTGCACGCATCATCCCGCATCAATGCTGAAGGCTGATGCGGGCAGTCGCCCAGGCCATTCCGCAAACGCTAGCAGCTAGCAACGGGCACGATGCTCAAAAGTGTGGGATTCTCGTCCGAGTCTCGGAGTTGGGCAGGAATTGCTGCAGGATGCCGAGGCCGAGCTGCCACTCCCCGGCCCTCGGTGTGCAGTGGCTGCCAGTGTGCCCTCACACTGTGCCCTCAGAGTGCCCTCCGTGCTCTCAGTGCTCTCAGTGCTCTCAGTGCTCTCAGTGCTCTCAGTGTTCTCAGACCTCTCCAAGAGCTCCGAAACGAGAAGAGAGAGAGAGCCGAGGTCGAGAGAAAGAGGTCGAGAGCCGAGGGTCCAAGACCCTCGGGCTCTCGTGGCTATATAAGCTACAGTCTGCGTATCCAAGCTTCCTCGTCATTGCATCGGCTGTGGCCGACGTGCCTGGGTTGAGACTCGTATTATGTACCTTTTCCTGCAGTTCGCAAGGTGTTCAACTCAAAAATCTCCACGCTGACGGTCCTCCTGGATCCTGCCCAAATCTTGCCTATGATGCGTGGGCCATTGCCGTAGAGCTGCTCAGGAAGTCCGGCGCAAGCCTCCGCCTCTTCAGACTCCAGCAAGCTGAGCAAAAATGCAAAAAAGGAAAAAGGCAGACTCAACGTCTATGCCTTGGAGAATCAGAGAGTGCCTTTGCCATCCTCTGCGCTTGGGCTCATTTGTCTGCGCCTCGGCATCTCCTCCAGGAGCGCAAGGCTCTCGCGCCACGCGGAGGCCACTTGGCAAGAGCCTGGAAGCTGTGCCCGGCCAATGCTTCCACACACCAAAGCTTCCAGAAGACACGACATGACAATACGGCACCTGCACAACAGAAAAATTCTAAAAAAAACTAACTATGTAATTGCATATGCTCGATGCTTGCGATGCTTGCGTTGCTTGCGCTGCTTGTGATTGCAAATGATTGCAAGCTGCACTTGCAGTCAAAAACACTGATGACTGCGCGGAAGCAGTCCACGTCCGGCTCGAAGCAGAGCTTTCGCCTTCAGCGCGCGTCTTGTTAGAAATTCGTGATGCGCAGTGTGTCGTGTCTCGCAATAACCCCTTTACTTGCATTGTTGAGGACCGGAGCAGCTCCACAGCCAGCTCCCAGCGTCCACCAGTTCTGCACGCTGTCAGCATGAAGCTCAACGAGCTTGGCCTGGCCTGGCGCCGAATTCTCCAAGAGACGGTTTAGGTCATTTGACAAGATTAGTGCACGAGAGACAATGTCGGGCCTTGCCAAGAGACACAGCCTCCTCGAAAACACTCAATGCTGGACTCCATTGTCCCACCTCAGACATGAAGATTTCACACTTACACCTGGCTCCGCAGTACATTGCAGTACCACCTCAAACCACAGGCTGATATGCAAGCATGCCACTCGGGCACATGCCCCAATGGCCGCATCGAAGCAGCCTGGCGGCGGTGGCAAAACGTGAAGGCTGCTAAATGGCTGGCGGTTAGCACGTGCATGAGAGAGCGAGAGAGAGGCAGAGACTTCAGGCACAGAAGTCAGCGCAGCGGGCGCCGCTGGGGGCAAGCCGTGCCTTCATCAGGGATGACTTTCACCTGTGGCATGTTGGCCATCAAGGCCAGTGCAGCTTCCCACTTGCAGGCGTCGTCACACCCAAGGATGGCGTGCTTGAAAATGTCAGCATCAGGTCGAGCGTTTGCAGGCAACACTAGCAGAAGACGCAGCACTGCTTGCCACTGCCCTGCATGGGCACAAACACCTGCGGCGCTGTAGAAGTTCCAGAGGTCAGGCGCAACCGCTCTGGCTGGCATTACGCCCAGCAGGCACAACGCGAAGTGCCAGTTCTCACAGGAATTGATAACAGTGTCATAACTTTGGGAGGTTGGCGGCAACCGAAAACGAGGCATGTCCTGCAACAGCTGCAGACACTGCTGCCAAAGCTTTGAACGACTGCATTCCTGCATGGTGACATCGTAGCAGAGTCTGCCTGGCGTCGTCCGGCTGCGCAGAATAGTGTCCAAAAGCTCAAGAGACAAGTCAAAACGCTGCCCAACGCTGCAAGCCCGAATAGCGGCTGCAACGTCGAAGTCCCGAAGCTGCTTTTGACGTGCAAAGCCGAGGGTGCCAAGGATGTCGAGAGCTGCCTGCCAACTTCCTGTGCGGGCACAGGCTGCCAAAGTTGAACTGAAGCTGGCCTCATGAGGATCCCTTCCTTCTCGCCCTGCTTCTCCCAAGAGCTGGAAGGCAACATCCCACCGACTTGAAAGCTCGCACGAGTGTATCGCCACATTGTAGCTGACGTGATTTGCATTCAACTCGTGAGGGATGTTTTGCAGCAAATGAACCGTGAGCTCCCATTGGCTAGCCTTGCTACATACGCTCATTGCAGCATTCCAGTTGGTCAAATCAGGTGTGACCAGTGCTAAGGGCATATCACGCAACATGGCCACTGCGTGCTCCCACATATGTTGCGATTGAAAGGCGCTGATTAGGATATTGTAGCTGACCTTGTCCGGCAGCATACTGGAGTCGACGCTTGCACTGAAGACACTCAAAGCTTGTTGCCAAGCACTACCCGATTGTGCTGCTCGCATCGCCGCATTTACAGCAATCCTTGGCGTCTTGGACCGGGTATCGCGCGGGGCGCTCATCATTTCGCTCAGACTTCCCAACGAAGGATCACACACAAAGCAAAGCCCGAAACCACTGGCAAAAAAAACAATTACTTTAGCCTGGCTCCAGCATCGTGTCAGGCTGCACGTCATGCCTATGCAAGGACTGCAGCAGTTGCAAAGCAGAGGGCCATCCGCTCTGCTTCTGCATCGCCGTTAGCGCCGCCGTGGCACTCACCTCAGCTACCTACCAGCTACCACTCTGCGTACAGCGCTGTGACGCTGTGGTGTACTGCCACGACTGCTAGTAGTGTAGTTGTCGTTGTAGTTGTAGTGGTAGTCGTAGTGGTAGTGGTAGTGGTAGTCGCAATAGTGGTGGTAGTAGTAGTACTACTAGTAGTAGTAATGGTAGTAGTAGTAGTAGTAGTAGTAGTAGTAGTAGTAGTAGTAGTAGTAGTAGTAGTAGTAGTAGTAGTAGTAGTTAGTAGTAGTAGTAGTAGTAGTAGTAGTAGTAGTAGTAGTAGTAGTAGTAGTAGTAGTAGTAGTAGTAGTAGTAGTAGTAGTAGTAGTAGTAGTAGTAGTAGTAGTAGTAGTGGTAGTAGTAATAATAGTAGTAGTAGTAGTAGTAGTAGTATTGATAGTAGTAGTAGTAGTCGTCGTCGTCGTGGTACTGGATAGTAGACGTGATAGTAGTAGTAGTAGTAGTAGTAGTAGTAGTAGTAGTAGTAGTAGTAGTAGTAGTAGTAGTAGTGGTAGTGGTCGTGGTAGTGGTAGTGGTAGTGGTAGTAGGAGTAGTAGTAGTCGTAGTCGTAGTCGTAGTCGTAGTCGTAGTCGTAGTCGTAGTCGGAGTCGGAGTCGTAGTCGTAGTCGTAGTCGTAGTCGTAGTCGTAGTCGTAGTCGTAGTCGTAGTCGTAGTAGTAGTAGTAGTAGTAGTAGTAGTAGTAGTAGTAGTAGTAGTAGTAGTAGTAGTAGTAGTAGTAGTAGTAGTAGTAGTAGTAGACGTAGTAGACGTAGTAGACGTAGTAGACGTAGTAGACGTAGTAGACGTAGTAGACGTAGTAGACGTAGTAGACGTAGTAGACGTACTAGACGTACTAGACGTACTAGACGTAGTAGACGTAGTAGACGTAGTAGACGTAGTAGACGTAGTAGACGTAGTAGACGTAGTAGACGTAGTAGACGTAGTAGACGTAGTAGACGTAGTAGACGTAGTAGACGTAGTAGACGTAGCTACGAAGGTCCGGGGTCAATATAGTCACAAATGATGGCAGGTTAAAGTCCAAAAAAATTTCGAAGTCGCAAGTGAGGGGTGTGCCCCAAAGCGCCCAAGACATGCCAAGACACGGCATCTGGCGGGACTTGGAAAGTCGACATCCTGTCTAAGAGGTCACAGCACTCGCGCCAGTGGCCACCTATGGCAGGTCTAGCGACATGCCGTCAGATCCATGGTGATGATTCTGCTCTCTTCGGTGGCAGTGCTTTGTGCAGACTTGTGTCGTGTACTATACACTGCTATGCCCACTGAGTGAGAATGTGCTGCCGAGAAGTTCCAAGTGTCAAGCGGCGCTTTGCCAAGGATGTGGCGACAGCATTGCAGTGAAAGACGTCCAGCTGCAGCCGGCTCTGCGCCCTTAGCTCCAAGCCCATCAGCCTACCCTAATTGCATTGCCCTTGCAACAGCAACGCATGGTCAAGGTATGCTGCCCAAAATGCATGCAGCTGAGAATGCGTATGCTCAGAACAGGATTGGCCTGAATGGAGATCAATGCAAAGCAAAAGTTTCACCAACATGCACTGACACCGAACCCGCCTTCTGCGCAACATCTTGCAGCGTTTTGGTGGCTATTCGGGGCTGCCTGGCCATGCTTCAAGGCAGCAATGAGCCTGATGCACGTGCACCATCCTGACAAGCACCGCAGATGGCTCCTTTGCCAGCGCTTCAGCGAAGCCTGCAGCGTCTGCTGCAGCTCAGCATCACTGCAGCCCGCCGAAAGCCTGTCGTCTGCAATCGTTCACCACTTCGTTCGGTCATACACCGTCCTCTACAGCTCCGACATGTGTACATGCACACAAGACTGTAATGGCCGCCTTTCATGCAGGGGCACCAATTCGTTTGCAGGGGCCATGGTGGATCGGTCTATGTCCAGGTCATTCTGAACAGGCTTCGCTATATGCCGTTGTTCCCTGTTCCCTCGTTCCCTTTGCACCCCTTGTTCCGCAGAGATCGGAGGGTGAATCCATGATCTTATGGTACTGGTAGCAGATGCTGAGCTGCTGCAGCATCCAAGCATACAAGTAGCATTCAGATCTCTACTGAAAAGTCTGCATTCGCTTCGCACAAACTCTTTTACGCACTCGTGGGCATTGCAAGTTCATGGGCCCAATAAGCCACGATGGACCCCAACTGCCGAAGACCGAAAACATGCGTGTCAATCCCTGTCAGCCTTGCCAGCGCCTCATCCAACTAGCAATAGCAAGCACTGCAACCGAGAACATGACGGACAAAGTAATTCGGGTCCGACTACCGGCACCAGCAGCGCCAGCCCGTGCGGCAACCAGACGACACCACTTGTCGTCTGAAGCTGAAGCTGCTCCAATCCCGTGCATATGTCGACACAGACTTGTGGACATGGACATACTGAAATGCTGCAGCAGCAACGCTTGCAGCTCTTGGGCACTTTCTATGTCCTTGGTGATCTTGCCACCGCATGTAGTTTCGAGAAAATGCCTCCCCAGAATTCGAACATGGCAGTCTTCAGTGCGCTTCTCACACCAAAGTCGCTGTGTGAACGGACTCTCGAAATATCCATGAACTTGCAGATTGCATGGCAAAGCGTCCAAAAAATCGAAGTCCTGCACTGGCACGAAGGAATAGCCGCGCACCCATTTCGGTGTCTCGGATGTGTCCTCATGCCACAAGTAGTAGATATCGTACTCGAAGGCATGTCTTGTTCGCAACGTCTGCAGCTCCAGTTTGAACCTGCAGTGTCCACCATCAAAAGGGCCCTTGTTTGCACGGTCAAGAAGCACGGGCTCGACCAAACCAAGCTTTCCAAAGGCAACATCGCAGAGAAACAACTGCCCATCGGCACGCACCACCAAAACCATGTGAGTCACAAGTGGAGGTGTTGGAAACCTGGGTGTAATGCCGTCATCTAGGTGCACCCTTGAGCCTTTGGCCTCAACCTCGAACCCAAGGTGTAAAAGCAAGGCCCCGAAGACCTTGTTCAGTTCGAAGCAGTAGCCGCCCCGGGGGCTCTTCCCGTCTGGTCCGCACATCTTGTCCACCGTCGACTTGAGATCCAACGAGACGACATCTCCCTGAAAGACGCTGATGTTCTCAAAGGGCACGGACTGAAAGAACTTCCGATGTAGTAGAAAAAGTATGTCCTTGCTAGGTGGCCTTCCCTCCACTGCATCTTTCGCCAAGCCTATCCGAGTCAGGATTCGGCCAAACTCATCGGGGGTAAGGCTTAGGTCGTTCACGCGCAAGTATGACGGCTGCTCCAGGCAAGCCATGTGCGGACAGAATGGGCAGAAAGGTTCTAAGATACAACCAGCAAGAAACCACCCAAGCGTGCGTGTCACAGAACCACCCAACGGACCGAAGCATTCTCATGCGGGGGGCAAGAGCCTAAGAGCCTGAGTCGGTGACGAAATCTACTCGTGCTTCTGCCCTTTGCATCTGTTTCTCTTGGAAAAATTCTACAGGACAATTGCAGGAAAGCGTCTGAAAACACAACATCCGAAGCAACTGCCTCTAGGGCTTTCGTACATCTCCGGAAAAGTTGGCGCTGCAGTCATCGGCAAGATTTGGCTGGGATCTGCTCTCTAAACCGGGCAAGCCCACGTGGCTCGAAGGCCCTTGGCAGCCCAGCCACCGTACCTGGCACGGTGCGGCCGCACAGCTCCTACTCAAGTTCAAGCCCCTTTACGTGAATGTCTGAGCTTCTCAACATCTGCCATCAAACTGGAGAGCAAGCATAAACAGGCTTCAAGGGCATGCATCTTGCTGCACCTTCTAGAGTTGACATTGTCCTCGCTACAGGCTCGAAAGCATTACCCTGCGCACAGTGAAGTTTAACGGCGACAGAAGCAACAAGTCGGAGTCCTGTCCGTAATGAGGATTTGTACCTTTGGCAGGGCACAACTGATGACATTTGCCTTGGCATCTTTTCTTTTGGGCACCCCACCTCAGGAAATCTCCTGGCCAGATGGCAGGCAGCTATCCCACCAATTGACCTGCACGACGCCAGAAGTCACGTTTGCGTAGTGCTTGGACTGGTGCCCATGGTATGTCGTGATGTGGATCAACATCCCAAACACCACCTTTTGGGGTCCTCAGAACAAAATAGGAACGCGCCTTGCTGGATGCTAGGTAATGCTCATTCCCAATTGTCGATGGAGTGCCGCCCGATGTGCACACACTTCTCCCGACACAACGCTGGGGAATGTCAGGCAAGCTGACAACGTGCTTCAATGTTCATGCGGTTGCTGGTTGCTCACAGGCGCCGCCGCCCGCCTCCCACCTGCCAACCGTCGCTTTCGCGAGCCTATTCGGGTGTGCTTCTTTGCTAATTTCTCATAGGTTCGACGCCGCAACCGTACTTACGGAGATCACCGCGGCGGCACTGCCACGTCTGTGAAGAACCTTCGGACTAGCAGCCTTGGCAGTCTCAGCCTCCTGATGCTGACAACCAGACGAAGCCACAGCATCATGGGCCATCATTAGTTGGTCATGGAGCGATGTGGCTCCTCGTGTTTCGTCTATTCCCTTCCACTCCCATTCCCTTCTCATCGTCTCTTCCGCTGCACCCTGAATCAAAACAGGCCTCCAAGATTGCACGTATACATGGCGATGTACGGTTTAGAGTCCAGAGCTGCTTCTCTGCTCACAAAAGGACTTTTCTTGCCTGGCCTCCCGTAGATGCCCATCTTTGTGACTCCTCGACCTCAGAAAGGAGCTCGCTTATACAGGTGGAAGAGGATGGATACAGGTGATCACAGGTGGACATCAGGGCAGTGCTCTTGAGGAAGTTGACGACGGCCTCGCCATCCTCAAGACATCACCAAGAAAATGTGCAGCAAAGAGGATCACAACGAGCATTGCCATGAGTCCGTGAGAATCGCGAAACTTTGCGAGGCGAAATGTGTCCTCGGCAACCCTGGAAGGCGAAGGCTGTCCTGATGAGCGCCTGTTTACACTGCTCCGGCTCTGATAGGATCTGCTAGCCAAGCCTAAGCCTACTGTCAGGCCAAAGGCGCCCGTAGCCGGCATAGTTAAAGAGAAACAAGTTGCAGCCTCAGCGCTGGTACTCAGTGGTACTCACATTACCCTATTTGCCTTGATATCTCCAGAACTTGGCTCATCTTGGCTCGCAGCCTTGGTTCGCCCAGAACTTCAAAATCCCAGCCTCAAAATGCAAGTCGCATTTTTTCGCTGCGCAACCATCGCAGTCAAAAGCTAAGTAGCACATCCAAAAGCTAAGTCCAAACATGTCTAAGTTGTAAAGAAGCTTCTCAGCTGGCCCTGGCCTGATATACCATGGCCTCGTAGTAAGCGGCGTTGGGGTTGCACCTCGGTACGCATTCATGGAGCCAGCTTCAATGCTTCAGTCACTGAAAAGGCACATGTTTCAGGTCACGGCCATATCAGCGTGGGATTGTGGTGAGCCTCCGCAGATACAGTAGGCGTCCCGGCAGTTAGATCAATGGTAAGAGCAAGAGACCACACCTGGACCTCGTTCAAAGGCAGCTGGTCGGCAACAACAGACACCTGCTTGGAACCGTGACAGCATGCAAATCATGCAAAAGCTAGCCAACTGCCACTTGCCCTTATGCTACCTCTTCCGGCAGCCGATGGCCGCGCTGGCATGGAATGAACATGGCCTCAAAGCACCGAACTGGGGATTTGCAAATCTCGCAACATGCGCGAGTGAAGTCAATGGAAGGATGTGAAAGGCAGAGCACGCATTGGATTCTCAGTCTCTGTCGTCCAGGCGGTGCCCTCCCTTTGTCTTGACCTGCCATTGCAAGAGACGTCAGAGAAAATGTGTGAGAGAGGCGTCCTAGATTCTAGATTCGCGGTAAGGGTATGGCCCAGAAGTGCTGCCCCGAGTAGTGGATCTGCAGCTCGGCCTGTGCTTTCAAATGCATGGATTTTTGTCTGCCTAACAAACTCAAAGACACAAAAGCTCAAGGTTGCGGAATTTTTTGCACACCACATGCAGTGTAGCGGTGAACGTTGGCATGTTGACTGCGCTGCTCCGCTCTACATGGCACCCCGGGCACAGCTGCTCTGGCCGCTCTGGGCTCTTGCGCAAGTTGTACATGGAAAGCCAGCTATCAGCAAAACGTGGCCCATGCACAAGGCGGTCATTTGACGACTGAACTGGCCGTCTGCTTCCCACAGCGTGCCCCACCCTCTCCCACCTGGCCCACCCCTGTTTTCAACCTTGCCAACTCCGTTGTAGTGGCGTTGTAGATGTGAAAAAGGGGGGTGTGCAAAGCTGCGGAAGGGAAAGTTGAAGAAGCGCCTGCATGGAGGGGTCCGCAGGCCTCGCCGTCTTAGTACTTCTGTTCCCCTTGCGCCCTAAACCCGACACAGCCCTACACCCTTCACCCTAAACCCTAATTTTAACACCATGCTGTAGAAACGGAACCACACAAGTGCAGCTTGAAAGTTCCTCGGATGTCGGGCTCACGTTGACGAAGACTTCGCAGGAAAGACAGCGCAAACACCCGAATCCACCCATGCACACCCAAACAGGTCGTAGCAGCGCAAGCCCCAGGCAGCTTCAGCTGAAAAGTCGTCTTAAACTCAACCCCCGCAAGCACAAGCCTTGCGAAACCACGCAGCCAGAAAGCCCCCCTCCTTACGTGTAACACAGCTGGCTTCTAGCCCGGTCGGCGGATTCTATGCCGGCTACCTAGGCCCCCCCCCCACCCCCCACCCCACAGCACACATTGGGTTCCTCCGGGTGTCCGTGGACCGAGTTGTGGAGGGTGTAGTCAACAAGGTTGCCGAAGGCGATGGAGCGAAGGCGACGGCGGTAGTAGAAGTGAACGGCTCGGGCTTGTCACTCTCACCAACGTGTTGGTGTGCTGGGTGAGGCGATCAAGGCCAGACCCCCCAAAATGGGAAGGGAGCACGACACCCCTGGGTCTCCCAAAACCACAAAAGTCTCAGGAACGACGCGGCCCTTGAGCCAACATGGACGACGAATTTGAGACCTTCCGACCAACCAGCTCCGCAGTGGCATGTCATGCCAACATGCATGTATTGCAATACAATCCCAATTTCACGGTGGTGCAGACATGTGCAGACCGAACTCGAAGAACAACCGACAGCCTCCCAAATGCCCGCAAACCGGGACATGATGCAAAATGTAGTGAATAAACCCCACAAACGCTTCACAAAAACAACAGATCTTACTTGAGGAAAACCGCCACGGAAGCGTCGTCACCTGAATGATTTTGGTCCCTGAAGAAACACCTTCTTAAACCACAATCTCGCTTACTCCTCGGCAACAGTACGATTTTACCTTGAGAACGACACGTATCATGGGGCACTACATTGATTTCGGCTTCCCTCAGCACCCGTGGTGTGAACTCTTCCAAAGTCTTCCCCAAACCGATGTCTCACGGATCAAAGAGCAAGCCCTGATCTCAGCCCGTCACTCTCAGCTGATTCAAGGATCCCACAGTCGGCACCTGTTGGCTTTCGAATCACCGTGCTCATGTGAAACAAAATGAGAGGTTCAACAATGAAAGCCTTCGAAAAACTACGATAGTGCATGCATTGTTCTTTGTTGGCCTTCAGGAAGCGCATCGCTGTGGTGAACATCCCAGATTTTGGAGTCTTCAGATCCTCCTGCAGAGCTTTGTGGTTTCACGTTTGTTTTTGCTTGGAGGTTCCATGGCTCTCGCTGACCCTCTCGCTGTCCATCACTGAGAGCAACCGTTCAAGACGAGCCATCTTGGATGGTAGGGAGCCCTCAGTGTCAAGCTCTGATCCTTGGGCACCAGTGTTCTGACATGCTCACCGGGTGATGCTTTGGCCATTGCTTTGAGTCATTCTGGGTCATTGAGCGCGCGGCTGCCTATGAACTCAGTCTGCGACCTGGGGAGTATGAGTACTGCACGGTCTCATTCCATTGACCAAACGCTTGTTGAGGATCCAACGTGCGGAATCTTGATGATTCCTGCCTCTGCATGTATGGACACATTGTTAACCAGGGCTGCAAATCAATGCAAACTCAAACACAGAGCTGAGCAGAGATTGAGCAGAGCCTTGCCCATGCCAGCCATTCCCCGAACGGTAGAGTCACTGAACCCTGACCTGCCAACTCGACGCCGGAAGAAAATGAGTGTGTGGGTAAAGACGTTGTAAGAACTGCAAAAGGCTGTAAAAAAGACGCAGAGACCACGCCTCGGGGATGAAGGCTTCGAACCTGACAGATCACTCGGCTCTGCGCTCGGGACTTGGAGTCCAAAAACGTTTGGAAAGGTTTGTGCCCGCAGAACTCCACGTAGAGAACAAAAACATTGTAGCTTATAACAGTATGGCAGCACCGTACATGATTCCATAACAGTCATACTCCTGGAAGCTCATGGAAGCTCAAATAGCTCAAATGGAACCCGGGTCAGACCCTCAGGCCCTCAGCGCAGGCTCGAGCCGTCGAATCTACAGGGAACAACCACAGGCCACAGCTAGCGCCTAGGGGTTGCCAATGGTTGCCATCTGCCGCGCAAGAGATAGTCACTGGCCAACAAGACTCGCACAAACTCTCAACTCTCCAACAAATGAAAGAAGGCAAGAGACACGGAACCTAGAAGTGACTTTGCTTCTGCAGGCTCGCTGCAAGCACAACACGATTGAATGGAGCATAAATCTGTGCACAGCACTCACTCAAGTTTGGATACTGGACCAAGTGGGCCAGCCTGGAGTGTGTGTATCCATCGTCCCAGGTCCTCACCACAAGCATCTGGATACACAAGTTGGGAAAGTTATACTGCACGTACTGCGCAAGTCCTCTGCCGAGTCCAGCACCTTGCGCATTGAGAAACCAAAACTCAAGCGAGGTAGCCTGGTCGCCCTAAACTCTTCCGACCTTTTAGTACAAGTGCTATGCTGCGCTATAGATGCGCCGTGCGCTGCTCTACACGGCTCTGACGGTGCTCTGACTTGCCTCACGCTGCTCGGTGGTAAGCCGGACCTGGCCCATCTCACGAAGGGACCCCGCGTCGTGCAGTACGCTTGGCTACTTGACATGCTACAAAGCCCATTCCACCCCGCTACGGCGGGAAGATCCACTCTGATAACCGTTTGTATTGAACGCCTGCGCAGAAAAAATCCACAGTACACGTCACGGGTTTTGGTCGGCCGCTGGAATTCACCCAAAGGTGTTGAAGTGCCCCGGCAACTACACGAACACGAACTACACTCTGACTACACTGTGGATTCATGAGTCTGTTACTTTGTCGCTGCGCAAAATTACGAGAGGCCTCGTGCTGCTCTTGAGTTCGCAGTGAGCAAGCCAGGCTGTTGATGGCAGCGCAGGCCTTTTCCTTAAAGAAGCAAAGCTCGAAATGGCTCCCGAAATGGCTGCAAAAGAAGCAACATGGTCAAACCATTTAAGGGGCCCTTGCCAAACCGTCCAGCGTGACGCCCCGCACATGGTCCGACAAATGGGCTGCCTCACACGCAAAACAGGTGCACCTAGGTGCACCCGATAGAGCCTGTGTCTCACCAGGTTTATCGCTAAGCTGCCGACATGTCTCAGGAACATCCAAAGCTGACGAACGTTGATGATGTAGTGACGGGCAATTTCTATCCTGCCAAATTGTCATCAAGCAGCGTCCCCTTATCTCACATGCAGCCGCTACCTTCAACACAGCCCAAACTACGAACGAAGCCAGATAGCACAATGTCGCTGCAACCCAAAGCCTTCGGAAACCATCATCGCAGATTCGCAGCACAGCCACCGCATGTCACTGCGTCCTGTAGTTTGCCTCTGTGCTCCGCTGAAACAACTTCAAGGAGCCGGGAAACATCAAGACCTGGGAAGAGCTGGTCCGAGGACGACGTCGGCATCACCCGCTTAATTTTCCCAGCTGGCACTGAGACTCAACGATGCTGTCGACCCCATGTCGCACCTAATCTGACTGCCACCTAAGACCTAACGCATGCCTTGCGCTCAACATCTCACAACCGTATATGGTCGTCGCGTCTTTGCTTGACAAGTTGACAGTCTGACAAGTACACAACTCATAACTGTCATAACTCATCCTCAGCTCGTGGAAGTGCTACCTGCTCGTGAGCTGGGATCTGCCGCAAAGTCATCGAAGTTGTAGCCGCGTGACATCGTGTGGCAAGACTTTTCGTGATTGCAGGCATGACCACGAGTTGCGGTGGAGGGTGCAGTGCAGGGCCATCTTACCTACGTTGAAAACGGCGGGAAGCGGTTATTCTTGGGTGCTATGTTGAGCAGCGTGGCATGGAGGCCCCAAAGTGAGTATTCCGTTTCTTAAACGAGTACTGCACGTGCGCCCCGCGTGCGCCTCGTGACGCCGCACCCGGAAACAAGCCTTTGTCTTATAACGTCTTTGTCTTACCATGTCTTAGCAATAAGGGGTTGTCGGACAATTCCGGATGGGGAGCCCTGTCTGCCAATGCTTTGCTCTCGAGCCCTGCGCATCCTGCTCTGCGTCTGCATCGACACCCCCAACACGTGATGACGTGATGCCCTTCAGGGGTGCCTGCAGCATCGACGTTTCCCCTCTGGAGCTCGCACATCCGCCCAGCCCAATGCGTGGACAGGCGAGAGGACATGGTTCGCCAACCCCTTCCCTGCACCAGCCGAAGCAGCCCAAACCTACGAGTTGCCGCATGGATGATTGCTGTGGCGTTGCCTATGTTGTAAGGACTTCTTGGCAGGCCTCAGCACGGTTTCTGGCCTTGCCACGTCACGCCCTACAGTACCCTCACCTCTCCCGTGTCATCTATGAAACGGGTGGGTGGGGGGACGGGCCTGGCTAAGGGGGCTTAGTATGGGGCTTTAGTAGGGGAAATGGTTCAGATGTTTTCAGAATTAGACGAAAGGTTTCTGTTTCGAGAGGTTAAGTACTGCTGGGTGGGCGTTCGGAGCAGATCGTCGCATGCATCTGAGGCACCGGCTCGTGCAACAAGGCGTGCAAAGAGCCAAAACAAAACAAGATCGACTGCCTCAGTTTCCGTCAGAAGGTGGCGTCGGCATACGTCGGTCAGCAACGCAAGGTCAACGCAAGGTGCTGAGGCCGAAGCAATGGCACCACGCGTGCCAGTCAGGCGTGCTATGCAGGTGCTGAAGAGAACTACAAGCCTTTGTGAGGTCGCGATCCGCAACAGTTACTCGTCACATTTCTAAAATGACACATGAGACAGTGCTGACAATCAAAATTGCTGCAGGATAGGATACTCAGGGCCTGGCAAAATCAAGAGGGTGATTGTGGAGACAACCACGAGGCACAAGGTCGGGGCATCCTTGCGATCACCGCAGGCTCTGGAAGCAATGACCGTTTGCTACATCCGACCCCACCTACACTGAAAGATTTCTGAAAGGGAGGCCTTGTAAATGCGTCCGAGCACCTGCAAAGCAGTGAGGTTCGCACAGCAGATCGTCTAACACATTTTGGTCCATTTCCAGCCTCTCTGTATCTTTTGGGCTCAGTGCTGCTTTGCACACAGAGAGGAGAGCTTCAACATTGACTTGCATCTCGTGGCTGCACTCGCCCTATTCAATGGTCGTTAAGCACACATTCAGACTGGCTCGGCCCCCTTGTCTTTGCAACTTCTGTTGCGTCAGGTGGTAAAGGTGGTCCAGTTGACCCATGGTGGAAGGGTCGCGTGGCTAATTTATATATATATATATATGTGTGTGTGTGTGCACATACTATACATATATGTATACATGTCAGTATTTCTTGATGTTTCTTTATTGCTTCGCGACATGACCCATCCGAAATGCGCCTTGCATACTCTGGAGATCGGGTCAAAGATCCTGCACAAGGTCAATCGAGCTGAGGGCTCCAGGATCTATGTCATGCAGACGCCGCGCTCCTTGTCGTCTTCGATACAATAGCTCTACATCGGGTCAGCATGTGTGCCCGGACGCATGTAGCACAAAGCACTGGAGCAAAAGCATCTTTGGCTTGCCGACTGCTGTCGTTGGAGCATCATTCCAGCTATGCACTGGCTATGCTGGCTGTGCTGGCTGCGCTGGCTGTGCTGCATACTTGATAGAGTTGCTTTGCATGCATTGGAGCCTGCAAACTGCAACTCAAAGCACCTCGCACGGCGCTTGAGACACGCTTGGAGCACGAAGCCAGGACTGCACAGCAATCAAGCACCACAGTCCTTTTGCAGAGGGATTCCTGATCTCTCTTTGCGTTCTGGCAGCTAAGGCTGCACTTCATACCCCAGCCCAGTAGCTCTGCAACGCCGCAGCGCCAAGCCACCACTCCTGCCAAGACTCCACCAAAGCAAATGGCGATTGGTAGACAAGTTCCTTCGGACAAAGATCTGATGTACAACAGAGGGCTGGGCTTTAGCTGACCGCACGCAGCTGTCAGCGACATTGCTCTGTGGCAGCCGACACTAGCCGCGCAGGTAACGCTTGCCTGCAGGCGGGTCTGACAGCACATCGGGCAAGGACGCAACGCCGTAGACTCCGGAGACAGCGCGCGCTCACTTGACTCTGCTATGTCGCGACAGCAGCTATAACGACCACGGCCTCAGCAAATGCAGTTGCAGGCCACGGGAGCAGAAGCCTGCTTCAAGTGAACGCTTGTTGTGCCTCTACAATGGCTGCCCGTAGCTTTGTGAAAGGCTTGGATTCAGTTGCTAGTTCGCTGCGAGGAAGCACACAGATGGCTGGCATGGCACCTGCTGCAGGAATGAGATAGGCTTCTCCAACTTCTCGGCAGGCTTCGCCTGGACAACTTATGCTAGGCCATGATTCTTGTTCACTGTCAGAAACTTCCAACTGAGGAAAGCACCTCTGCCAATCCTTCTGCATGCACAAGGCATGTGCAAACATGTGCAAACACAGGTTCATTCGGGTTCAACCCTGAATGACTGTTGACGGCCTATCTCTGATAGTGGCAACGGGGCATTGATCTCCAACGGCGCCTGCGCAGCAAGCACTGAGCTTCCAATTCTGGCCGAGCTTTGCTGACCTGCCTCTGGTAGAGGTGGGAGCTCCTGCAACGGGATTCGCTTCACTTGCACTTGGCAAAGCATGGCAAAGCCACAACAGGCCCTGCCTGGCCAGGAAACAAACCCAAAGGCATGGAGGGCGGCGGCAAATCCGCCGGCGGGGGCCTTGGTTCGGGGGAAGGCAGCTCTCAAAACGCTCATATCACAACCCCCAACCCATTGAGATGACCCGAATCAGATGGTTGAACAAGCCCCTTCCTCCTCCCACAGTCGTGCAATAGGTTGCCCCGGTGGAGGACTCCAACCCTCATTGGGGCCTTTGGCTAGTCTGCCGCATTCACTTTATCTCGTCTCTTCTTTCACCTTTCTCCACCAAGCAGGCACTGTTGAAGGTTCCTTCCATCCCTTGTTGAAGCAGAGAAGTGTTCTGTACGCTCGCGTCTACGAACTTCATGCTGCCTGGGTGCGCGCAACGTCTGTTTTTTTGACGGGCAAGGGGTGTGCTCTTATGCACGGCCGAGACCCTTAGCTCTAGTCTCTTAGCTGAAAGGAAATGTTGATGAAACGTTGCAGCTCTGTCAGTTCATGCCAATGGAGAATCATAGATCCTGGGCTACAGCACAAAACAAAAACCCGTCTATGCTAAGCCCTTCTTGTCTTCACGGTCTGAATGTCCAACATTACCCTGTTCTGCTGAAAGCTAAGGCATGAACGGCGGCATTGGAGGCTGTGGAGGTTCTGGCTGAGCAGCAGGATTGCCAGCAGAAGTCACTGAGAGCGGCATTTTGACCTTCAGGAGGGACAACAGATTTCACAGCCAGCGCTCGGTTTCAGTTTCCAATGCCAGCGGCTGCAAGTGCGCCTGCTTGGGCTTCGGATATATGATGCCATCACTCTCTGTCTGGCGCAAGCCTGATACCCATGTTCTTCTGTACTCGACACCGTCTTGCCAACGTGCTGCGTTTCATTGACTTCAACCAGGTCAGATTTGCGGTTTACTTTCTTGCCACAGTGGCACACGCAGAGCGGCGGAGCCTGCATGCTTTGCAAGCATGAGCAAAAGCGTCTCACAACCGCCGGGTAGAGTACGGGTATCGGATGGTATAGATCTAGTCGTGAAATCGTTTAACTGACAGCATCAGATGCATCGGGCCAAAATACGATGAATATGCATGTCACTGGTCCCGACGCATCGCTTGGACGGTGCGCCTTGGCGGCATCAGGGAGGATGTAGGGACTTGCGCCTGGAACAACGAGCACAGGCAGATTCCGTAAACTTCTTCACAGCTAGCCCGCTACCCGTTTCATGTCCAGCCTGGAGCATCGGCCTCCTGCTTCCTGCAGGTGCCAAGGGAAACCGGCCAACCCCGCCCCCACCCCCCACCCAGATTCCCAGATTCTTGCCTCAAAGACGAGAACACGCCTCTGATGGCACTGAGTGGGTCGCTGGACCTTGTGAATTGAAACACCAGATGAAAGAATGGCGGCCCACGAGGGCTGGCAAGACACGAGATTTTTGTGAGCAGAGCCCCGCCCACAGTGCCCCCCCCAAGAGGGCTGCCCAGTGTGCCCCCAGAATGCCCCCCCTGCCTGTCCACGGCTGAGGCCGCACCGAGCAGAGATGCCTTTGGCAAATACATCGCAGATTTCGCGCATCTTGCGAATGCACGACTGGAGAGACAGCGCCCCAACACTATTTGTTGAGTGCGATGTTGAGTCGCCCCACCTCGGGCAGCTGGACGAACCGCGAGATTGGCTGCACTCGCGTCAAGGGATGCGCCTCGAGTACGCATGCCAGATGGAGCAAGGTCCGGCAGGAGCCAAAGCATGCGGCGCTTGCAGCAGCCACGTCTGCCTCGTACACAATCTCCCTTCCATTGGAGGATGGGCTCTGCGCCAACTCCCTGTTGCAAGCGTGCATATTTGAACCTGTCCTTGTGCAAATCGCCTTTGTCAAAACAACTTGGCGACCGGGCGTTATCTCATCGCTGTTCAGATGTGCGCAGTCCACAACTGGCTTTATCTCATCTGTCAAGAGGGGCCTCACCAGAATCGCTTGGGATCGCGGGGTCACGATGCTCAGCGTGCGCTCAGCATCGCACTTGCAGGTATACAGGCAAAAGCGGTCATAGCTCACCACATCCGCACTTTGCACCTTACCGTGGGAAGACCGAGGGCTCCTACTCTCATGGTTGGACATCAAAGATTTTCTTTTGTTGTGTCTTGCTGTGGATGCTGGCGCCGGGAGTACCCGAAGAGAAGCCCACACAAAGTGGCGCCGAGTATTCTTGGAATGCCATCCAAAGAGGTCCCGCCGAGTATCCTGGAGTGCCCACGCCGCGAACATCCCGCAAAAAGTCAGAGTCCCGCCAAGTACCGCAAAGAGTTCCGCCGAATATCTCTGGAATGCCCATCTCCAGTCACTCCACCCTTGCCTCATCAATCGTATTCACACGACAAGTAGACAACTCGCAAAAAAAGGCACGGCCCAGACCGAAGTCAAGCAACGACGTCGAAAGTGATACACGCCGAGCTGCATGTGGACATATTTATTGACAAGACGACGCCAACACTCAATGCCACCCGACTCAGAGTTCTCACGAGCCACAAATTTCACCGAATCAGGGGTCATGGTCAATACTGTAACAACTTGATCCACGGGTGCTGCTGGCGTGTTTGTCACAAATACTTGAAGCGAAACAGCGGTAAGCGTTCATTACTTCATCTCATGCTCTTCCAAGTACCTTGCGGCCTCTGCATGAAACAGAGACAAGTAGTCGCGAAAGTTCCATGACCACTCTTCCCATTCAGACGGTTTACTTGCGAAAGTTGGAAGCAGAGGTAGCATAGGCTTGCCCGGAGAGGCATTCTCTCCCTCCAGTGCCAGTTGGCTCTACCAAAGTCTCTGAAGAGCGTTCAGTTCCATTGCCATGACAAAAAACTGAGGTCACCCAGCTCAACACACAACTGGGCAATCTCCAGCTGCAAGTCTGTTTTGGCACATGCACGTCAAGTCTTGAACCAACGCAAGTTAGCATGATGTCTTTTTCGTTGTAGGGAGTTAGGGAGTGCTCTCACACACAAACAAACAAACAAACCAACATTCGGCAATGAATGGCTGCTAGTCACTTGGAAAGCACAGGACCCATCGCATGCTAATCTGTTCTGCTTCCGGCCCAGTTTTTCCCTGTTTCCTGAATCGTGGAACCCTGCTACGAATTTCCTGATGCCATGGCACCACGCGAGCCGCAACCGGTTCCATCTGACGGCAGTCGGCCAGACCTCAAAGCCAACTCTCAGCCCCAAGGCTTCTTGACATATGGCCCTATGGCTGAACAGCGCACTAACTACCACCTGAGCATTGAGTTCACTTTGCGTCACTCAGACACCTGCTCGCAGTTTTCGGGAAGCATTGGAAGCCCACACTACCATCGCCACCTGCCAAAACCACGAAATCACGCTCGCCCCACCCGCTTGGAGACTATCGCTCAGACAGGTACCTTCAAGTCTATGTTCCCCAAGGCATTCGGAGCAGCTGCATGGAGAAGAGTCCTTTCACGTTTGAGGCAGAAGCGCGATTGTGCAAAGACAGATTGAGAGTTATAGCGAGCGCGAGCAGCATGAATGCAGCTCCAAACACAAAAGAGCAATGGAAGCACGAGCAAGGAAGGGCGAGCCTGCCACCTGGATCCTTGCCGCAGCTTCGTCCTCGCAAGTAACTATACCTAATTAACATAACTATCCTTTCCTGAAAGAGGTCACGCGGTACTCTGAGACTTCTGGGAGGCTTGAACTCTTCAGCCGTTATCTACCAAGGCAAGCACCGTGTCAGGACAGTGCCCAATGCCGGCACCTGAACTCTGTTAGCAGCTGGCTTCCAGGGGCTTCCCAAAACTCCAAAGAAACTGGGGCGGCAACTGCCAGCACTGCTACAGTGATTGCACGGAGTGCCATCATGACTGCATCCTCACACTCACACTGCACCCCATCGCAAATATGGCTACCTGTATGTAAAGATTGAAAACATGTCCAAACATGTGGACAATGGCAAGGTCTGAGATGGACACCCCGGAATCAGGGGTCGGCCAGTCTGCTGGCACGGCTGGCGCACACAGAGCCAGCTGAGGACGGTTCAGAGCCGAGTCAGAAAGCCCTTTGAGCTCAATAGATGAATCCCGTCCAGCTAACCTCATCTTGCAATTTGAAGCAGGTGCTCCTTCTGCTTTTGCGACAGCAAGCACAAATGAGTCCGCGTTGACATCCTAATCTTCAGCTCACGTGAGCCTTGATGCGTCCACTTCGGTTTAGACGCACGTAAAGATGATGTACGAACAACTAACTATGTAACTTCAATATTGGAGTCAAAGTGGAAATTGCAGAAGCGGACCACCACCCACAATGTTAGCGGGATGCAGGAGAATGCCAAACTCACGTTTCCTCGTTTCCTCCTGGGATGTTCAGCATTCTGCAACGTCTGACACCATGCGTGTGGATCAGCATCGTCAAGCCGGCACAACACAACTGCAAAAAAATGCCAACTGAACTTTGATGCTTAGGTCCCAGCAACACATGGCTCACCAACCACAACCCCACTGGCTTCCTGCCAGGGCAGTCTATGCACGGTCTATGCACGCTGTGAGAGTGTGCAATGGTCCAGATGAGCCTCCGCCTCCTCCCCAGTGCCCGCCTTTCGGCGCACCTCGAACAATCTCGAACACAACACTTCGATAACACCTCGACCAAACTGCACATTCAATTCGCCTGGAGGCCTCGGGGGCGGCGGCACCTGGGCGTTCTTCTTACATCTCGGGCTGCAGAACATGTAGAACTTCTTCACCGCACGATGCACAGATGCACTTCCCATGCAACTCAAAGACCGGAAATGATCGGAAACGACATTGGCGAAGGCAGTCATGCCAATCAGAAAGGGGGCATCTGAAGTCACGTGCTTCGGCATCCACGGCTCTATGATTCTAAGTTGCCCTTGTATGGTGCGGAATGCCAGTTTAAACAGTTTGGCGACGATGCTGGGTCTCTTCTCTGATCTCTAGCATACATGTACATGTTTGATAGACATATACCTAAAGGTATAGGATGGGATAGGTACACATAAAGCCTATACATAAACCCTACACATACTTGTACGCTGCCCCCCGACCCCATTGATCCAAAGTACGCTTCGTGAATGGCCCCTTACATAAATAACTGTGTGTTGTGCAAAAACTCATGTTCTCGGGAAGACCGGAAAACATGGAGGCTGGAAACCGCGGATTCGGGAAACCAGAGCCCATATCGGGAGAGTTGCTTGCTTCACATCAACGCACCGCGACATGAACGATATCATCCGGCTCCCAGTGGTCCAAAAAGGCTCTAGTTTTGCTTAGTTGCTTATGCCATGCTTTCCCTTGTTGTTCGTCATAAGGTTGCGTCCTCAGTGGGCAAACAATTGCAAAGGCTCTCAGAACAAACTTGGCACCAAAGAGGGTTGCATGTGCAGCCTGGATCCTGAACTGCCTCTCTGGTAGTTTGAGAGGGACAATTTTCTTGATTCAGCAGAACTATTTGCAGAACCTAGGGGGATTCAACCGCGATTCAGAAACTGGACGCAATTCAAGAACCAGGATTCAGGAAACTCCGGCGTGTGAGGAAACTGGGGAAGCTAGACAGGAAACATACCGATTCAAGAAATGTTTGCCTCACACGATTGAGGCAACCAACCGCATGAAACCGCGATTCAGGAACTTCTTTCGCTCGATTCCGGAAACTTCGATCCAGGAAGCCATGCGATTCAGGAAACTGGTCCTGTTCAAGAAATTAGCTGGGAGGTTGGGTGGGAGAGGGTGGCGGAGCACACAGAAAGAAGAACGGGCGTTTGCTTTTTTGAAAGGATTGGCAACTGACTAGACAGTGAACTCCGGGGCCAATGAGACTGTCAAGCCTTACCAAGCTCCCCGCAACCACCGGAGGCGCGGGCGGCGGCGGATTGACAGGGGACCCTTCGGGTGGTGCAGTGGGAATCAGCCTCACATCTCGTGCAAAGCAGATCTGCAGGAACATGCAGAGAACACACGAGAGCACCACGAGAGAGCTGATCTTGCTGCTCTAAGCTCCACGCCCGTGCTTCACAGCTTCGGCCGCAGCTCTTGCCTAAGCGCCAAGTTGAGGAACTTCCTGGAAAGCACAAACCACAAAAGATAGACACAAGAAAACCGAGGTGGTCGGAGTCCCGCGGGGGCACCGTAAATTCTCTCGAGGGGGGCTCATTGAACGGCTGAGTTTCATTCAAGCTCTGAGGCGGCGACTCTGGCAATGGATTCTGACAGCGTGGCTGGGAAACTGCTGGGTTGATGCCTCGGCTGCAATTGCCCAGCAAAGTGCTGTAGACTGTACTGACTGCAACGCGTGGAAACTTTCAAGGCAAGAACGCCGGCACTGCAATTGGCCCATGGGACAAGCCAGCACTGCCGCCCCTGAGAGACCCATGCAAAACTGGAGGCATTGAGGTTCCCCGTGTTTCCACAAATTTGACAGGTGTAAGCCACACGCGTCATTCCAGGTGTCTTGGTGGGAACCATGTTCTTCTCCAACTCAGCCTAGACTGCAGCTGCACAGTGCTGTCCAGGCGAAGCATCCTCCATTGAAGAAAGGCCTGGATGAGCGACTTGGCGATGGATACCGCCTCCTTCCACACACCAAAGCTCATCGCAATGACGCAGACGGGAACGAGACACACGAGACACAGCTGGGTTGATGGCCTGACTGCCGGTCAATCGGACCTTGCAGCGAGATCCAGACTTGTCTATGTCGATGCGAGCCTGAGGGATGGCAGTTGCGATGGCAGGTTGCGATGGCAGGTTGAGAAGGACATGACATCGCTCGGAAGCTCAGGATGTTGCCCCACTGGTCTCTTGGAACTGCCGGATGCGTGATCCTCAGTGTCGGCCGACACCCTCTCGCACCCTCACCGACCCCATGAGGGACAATTACAAAGCTCCCATGCCGCCTTGTGCTCCGATGAGAGCACCGGACACCGTCTTCGGCAGGTCCATATACTCGGATGCTTCATCCTGGTTTGTGAGACGGGCTGCAAATGGGTACAAGATGGGCTTGTAGTCCAAAGAGTCCAATCACACAAAACAGCCTCCAGCTGCATCGCTATGGTGAGCAAGACTTTTTTGGCACCTGGGCTATGCTCGGCATCCAGAACAGCTCAGCTGTGGAAGACTTGCTGCTGGGTCATCCCCCAGCTCAAGCCCCATGCGGTCCACATTGTCTGCCTCACCCTCCACAAAAGCTTGCATGCATGGTCCAACAAGTTACGAACAGCTGCAGTCCGGCTGGAAAAGCGGTTTCATCCCGGGTCAACGCCTTGATGTAGCACTTGCACGGGTCTGTCTCGAAGTCGACATCGATTTTAGTTTGAGTTTGCGCTTGGACTTCATTCACTTGCGCCTTTGCTGTCCATCCCAAGTGCTCGTTGGACACACGTTGCAGTGCCAAGAAGTGTGTCACTCGCACAATCCAAGCACCGCACTCCTTTCAGTCCTATGACCATACCTATCCTCAGCAGCTCAGCGCGAAGCATGCATACATAAAATGCAGACTCAGCCATACTTCCGCTGACAGGCACGGACTTTGAGCGTGGAATCTCCACGTAGTGTGAGCTCAGATGCTTCTGCCTAGCAACCCGCTGCTGGAGGCTATATTAGATGCTGTCAGCATCTGCTGGAGATAGAGCTCTGAGTATGTAGCTTGGTTTGATCAATGAGCTCTAGGATAAGCTCCTTGGCCTTCGGCATGAAAAGCAAGTAGTGCAGGCCATGGCAAGCCAAAGACCAACCTGCAATGCCCAACACCCTCGGTCCTTCTTGACTGCCTCCGCAGTGCCTGCTACTTTGACCTGCCAAGCAGCTCGGAGCAGCGAGGCTGTCCAATTCTCAAAGTTCGACACGCAAGTCAAGCCAGCAACACCATGCAAGGATCCGAGGTCTGATCTCTGGCGTCTACTTTGAAAGCTCCACTCCTCGGAACAGGAATCGCAAAGGACAGTGACCAGCAGTTGACTCCAATGTCAGGAATGCACTTCTCGCGGATTTCGATGATGGTGGCCGCTTGCTTCCCGATGACCTCATCAGATTTGAAGGGCACCAGGGCCAGTCTATTTCTCGCAAGTTGCTTTCGGCAGCTTAGTCAACTTAGACTGCAAGCAAGCACGTGCAAGCCTTCCCAAGAAGAGCTTTCGGTACCGGGACCTCATCCTGATGGGGATAGTTGATGCAACGTGGCAACGCATTGCCATGCATTGCAGCACAAAGAAGCTGCAGCACGTCATCCGATGTGATCCGGCGATTCCTCTACCGAAGGCTCCAAGAAAATCGGCACATCCTGGCCCGAAAGAGTTCAGCAGAAAGCCGCAGATCGTTGCAAACTTCAGGTTGAATTTGAGGCGGCCTCCGGCGGACCTGACCTCTCATCATCCTCGCAAGGGCAACAGCAACGAACTCCTCTTCTTACTCTGGGAAATTGTAGATTCTGGTAGACATCCGTCGAACCCGGCTTTTGGGTCTGGAGCCTCCAGGAGCCCCTGGATTTTAGGGTGGGGAACCCAAAAACCCCTGATTGAGGACAAGGATCTTGGGCCTGGAGGGGTGGGGGTAGGCAGGGGGAAGTGGCAATTGCCAACCCCTACCTGCCCCAATGCCAATCACGTCCAAAGGACACACATGAAACATCGATGCAACGCCATTCAACGCCAACGCCACTCTCCAAAGCCCCGTCCTCCCGCTCGGCCACTGCCCAACCTGGCTTCTACAGAACAACGAGATGACTCTAGTGGGATCGACGCTGAATCTACGCACAGCAAACTTCCGAGCATAACATAGCATAACGAGCCTTTGTTTGTTCATTAGCTGGAGAGGTTGGCTCTGGAGGTCTAGACCCAAATCTGGCAGCCCCAGCACGTGTGAGCGAGCATCTTAGTGCGAAGTTGCTAGAAAGAGTTCACCCAGGCCCGCGCCGTAGGTGTCTGGGCAGAATAAAGCTGGTACCCCAATTCTTATCCCCTCCCAACCTACTTTTTTGCTTGGAATGGGTAGCCCCCTGGCCGACAGGTGTCCGAGCGGACGGTGCATCAGGACAACGGGGGCCTTGCCAACCCCCCCTTCCCCGCCAGCCCCACCTGTCTTTCCCCTGCCCTCCAACTCTACCCCCTTCTGTGTTGCTTTTGTTGCTTTGAAGCCGAGGCACTTCCTTCTGCGTCCACTCGCGTGGACTGCGAAGCTCTGGAATCTGTTTTTCGCAGAACTTGTCGCGCAATCTTGGAAGCGCCGTGGCTTTGATGATTGCTTCTCCATGCGCAAGAGTTGCTTATCCTCAAGGACTTGTTCCCCGAGCGGGTGACAGGTGGCGTAGTTGTTGACCTAGCCTTGCTGGCGTTGGCCCGGAAACAGCTCTACAGGGTTCCGCTGGGCAGGCCCCGACCAAGGCTGGTCGCGCAGGGTTGACATTAGAAAGGCACAAAGACAGCGCTGGAACATAACGCGAAGCCAAGAATTCATTTGCACGACAGGCCAGACAGAGCAACCCAAAAAAGCAGCACCTCAAATTCTAGAAGGCTCAACTTAAAATCGGTGCCTCCACATCAAGAACTGACTTTGAGTGATGATTGCAAAAGCTAGCGAGACAAGTGACCAAGCTTAGTGTCCATTCTCGGACATGTCAGGTCGGATCTTGCTTATTTTTGCTGCCAATGAGCATCGTGAGAAGAGATTGCGACAAGACACATTAAGATGCGGAGGCGCAAATCTCTCTTGAAAAGCAGCGAATCCTCATCGCGCCTGTATCGCCTTCGAACGACGCCATGCTGCCTTCAAATCACCGCAGCGCATCTGGAATAAGCTGGCGCCGAAGCAATGACAAGAATTGACGCATGCATCGTCAAGCTTGTCATTCAACCACTTTACTGCTAGGTGGGCCAGTGCTGTAAAAGATAAAATCCTTGTCGTCTCGGGCTTCGGCCACCTTCCGGAGGAGCTCCTGACGCCAACAGCGGCGAACTTGCCACTGTACTTGATGCGATGCGACACACCATGCTTAGCCATTCTCATATTCCCACATCCCGCCGCCTGGCCAACCAGGGGCTGGCGGAGGCCTCTCGAGGCACGAGCACTGATCCACGAAGGATCCAAGATACCGCTCATTCGCTGCTAGACTTTTGCGCGAGAGAGCTGGACTCAGCTGAGGCATGCACACGCCTCCCCACTGGTTCCAGGCCATGGGATGGCCTGGGACCATGCTTCTTTGGATAAGCACGAGAAATTTCCCAGCACCACGCGAGGTCACTTGCTCACAAGGAGGCAGCCATGAGAGCAAACTGTCCCGTTCAGACGCTCTACTTCACCATCTTGCAAGGGGCTTTTCCTTTGACATCACCATGGAACAGACTGCAACCGGTACTACTTTACATCACGTGAGACTCATCGCCACCAAAAAACACCTTGCTCATTCTAGCAGCAATGGGTGTCGGGCCAGATGGGTCTACCAGATGGGTCTATTGAACGAAGCTACGGTTCATGTCCAGAAGCGTGCTGTTACAGCAATTCTCTCTGGGGTCATGCTCCTCGGCGCGGAGCATGCACATGGATTGGAGATTGGAAAGGTGATGAGCTAATAAGCTATTAAGATGGACGCGGAAAAGCCAAGTGCGCAGAACACAGAAGGACCACGCCTTGTGCAGGTGGTGCGCCGCTGGGCGTTCCACTCTGCCAGGACCGCCACATCTCGGCCCACTGAGTGGCCGCCTCAGGGAAAGTTCACCCAAACTGCAGGAAAACACAAAACGGTGCAAATGGTGGGGCCGCTGCATCGTGCTCGGAGGAAGAAGACGACCTGGGTCTAAATGATCTTACGGGACATCATGGCTCAACCTCACCTGAAACTGGAAGAATCAGACTTACAGCGTCAACTTCACGTAACTCATGCGGCTGCGTGGCGATGAAGAAGAGCTTTGCCCTGCTCCTGAGCACGTGGGGTGCGAGGATCCCAAGTCATCGATGGCATGCACTTCATACACGCCATCCGAGTCCGCAACGCTTCTTTTTCTTCTTCTTCTTTTTCTTCTTGTCTTCCTCCCGTTCTACAAATGCTGGAGCAACTGAAAGTAGATGCATGTGAAGGTGGGTGTGTGTGTGTGTGACTGAGTAAGTGAGCGACTGATTGACTGAGTGAGAGTGACAGTGAGAGTGAGACAGAGGCTGAGCGAGATTTCAAGAGAGAGAGAGAGAGAGAGGGGAGAGAGAGAGAGAGAGAGTGTGAGAGAGAGAGAAAGTAGCAGCCAGAGTGAGAGTGAGTGAGACAATAGAAGATGGAAGAGAGGACGAGGGAGGGATGAGGGAAAATAGAGAGAGAGAGAGAGAGTGAGAGTCAGAGTGAGAGCGACCAGCACAAAAACAGGACAAGGATGATAAATGTGTGGAGTGCTTTCACGTCTGCTGACGCTTGCCGCCGCATTTGGGGTTTAGGGTTTAGGGTGGCCTCTGCGGCAGCTTGCTGGGCATGCTGCGCCTCCGTCACCGCGAAAGCAAAACTGAAGCACCATCTGTGCACTCGAACTGTCCCGTGCACAACCTCATAAGATCCCGACATAGTCCCAATAGCTGGCCGCGGCCGCAGCATATGCGCCCTTTGTGCGAAATGCTGCCACTGATGTTAGAACCCACATTTGACACAAAAGGGAACAAGGCAACGCTCCATGTACACCTCCCTTTCCGAGACAATGGCATACCCAGCATAGGGACCCCAAGCTGCCGCAGCGCCTTCTGCTGGCGCCATATCAATTCAGAGATGGTGCTTACAAGTAACGGCTTTGTTGAGGCTGCATCTTGAGGCTCGCTAGGCTTGCCGCCGAACTCGTCCAGTCGGTCATCATCCCGGCCATCTTTGTCCTTTCGACGCCGACCTTCGACGTCAATCCACTGCAGTCAGAACATTGATTCCCAACGGATTCCAAAAAACCGTTGCATTCTGGATCGGATGATACACGGCCGGGAGCCCCGCGGCCGCCGCCTTCTTTTCAAAAAGTCACGAAATCTGACGCTACTTCACAGGCATAGCGGCATAACGCACTCAGGGTGGCCTTCGCCGTGCCGACTTCGAGACCGATGGCCTCGATGATGGTCGTCCCGACCTGGACAACTACACCAACTACACACCAGAAGATCCATGAGCAAAGAGTTCTTAGTCTTAGTCGCCATCCCAAAGCAGCTGGGAAAACCCACGCCCACGTACACCCTGCAGATTTTGGCCTCCTGAGCGCACACGCCTTCCTCGGGATCTGCTTCGCGCAGAGTACATGGCAACGTACCAGTCGTTGATGTGAGCGTATCACCACTAGTTTGTGTAAAGGTAGGCTTAAGCAAACACGGCAACTTGAGTTCCGGATGTTGGGTGTCTGGGTGCATGCGTGGCCATGAGCTTGCATGCTTGGGCGACTATTTGCTGGGGAGGGCGTCAGGCTGCTGGTGTCATAGCAATTGTATCGTCACGTATGTGATGATGACTGAATCTGGCATCTTTGGCTGGTCCTTCCACCTAGTTTTACCTGGGTTTGTAAGAACATGATGTCAACTGCTCTGTGAGTTCCATGATTGCGGCACAGATGTCACGAGATCTCGGAACCGAGGGTTGTCAAAATTTAATGTTGTGAGGTGTGGCACCAGCTGCGCATATCTCTCTGCACGGGCAAAAACCCTCGAAACCGTTTTCCGCTCAGGAAATGCAAAAGCGGGGCTCCAGCAATGTTTAACCTAAGCCCCGCCCTCGAGAGTAGAGCTGTTTTTGCATTCCCTGCCAGTATTGCCGCTCCAACTCCTGCAGAAGACCATGTGGATTTTCTCAACTGAGATCATACATCTTGCATACGAAGTAGCGGTATCATGGAACCCCGCCTGAGCAGGCCCGGGAACAGCCTACAGAGCCAACACTTGCGACAACTGCAGCATGGGCATCGATGAGAGCGAATGAAACGCCCACAGCAAAACATGACAGAACAGTTCCTCTCGGGGGGACTTTTTGTGATAGTTCAGCATCTTCATTCATCTTCATTCATCTCGGCCTTGCTGGGCTGCGCCTCGCTCGACGACTCCTTGTCCTGCAAGGCCGCAGGTTGCATATCATGATGCCTACACTGCTAGACGCGCAAACACACTGACACACAGAGACAGGATCCTGGAACTGTGGCTTCCCTGAATTGCCGGGCTTCGGGTATGAGCCCGTGTCCTTTTCGGCACCCATGAGGCGCAAGAACTTCGCCTTTTCTGCAGAGGTATCGAAAGAGCTCTGCTCCCAGGATGTCCTCAAGTCATATACGAGTCATATGAGTCACACGCAGCATTAACGCATTAGCGCATTAACGTGGCGCAAGCGGAGCACACGCACGCTTTGTCCTATTACTTTCTGGCAAGATTTCCAATGACCAGAGCAGATTTTGCTGACTGCTCCCAGCCTTTCCCAGGCATTGTCTTTCGGCGCGGAAACCAGATTGCTGGGTTCATCATCAGATGTTCCCTGCACCGAGCATTTCACATGTCAGCGACAATGAAATTTCTAACCGGTGGTCCCACCCCATGTGCTACCAGTTCTTGTCAAAGATGCCTCAACTCCCGGATCCTGTCTGGGTTCATCACGTTTCGGGGCTGCAAACAACGCCTGCAGCTCTGCAGTGTTAAAGCAATGTGAAGCAGCACACCAAAAGCCCCCCCAAAGCAGTGGAGACCGCGACCTTGCGTTTTTCTCGTTGTTGCTTCCGCTTCTCCTCGCCTGCAGCGCGGTTTGGCGTCCTGACAATCTGCTAGTCTTTTGGATCGGTGTTCTTGCCAAACCCTTATGAAAATTTCGGTAGACCTACCTTTTTCAGCATCCTCCCCAGGAAAGCCGAAAGACCCCCGATGACCCACAATCGCCTCTCCTGGAACGTGCCCGTCGGCGTTCAGAGTTGTAGTTGAAGGCGATGCCTTGCTTCTTGTTCCTGCGACACGACGTGGTTGGTAAAAGGCATCGAGATATTTGCTGGAGTCAAGTCCTCTCTGTCCAATCTTCCGAGCTCATGACCGTCAGCGCAAGAAAAGTGCACAAACAGAGTCCAAGAAGCTCTTTGGTCTGCTGAGACTTGATGCGACTGCAACGCGTTACACACAACTCAAAGCCTACTCGGGCAAAGTGTACGTGCAAGCGTCAATTGCTCAACGTTTTATTTGCCAGCATACTTGCTGCGTTTATGATTCATGATTGCTTCCACAATCTTGCTTGAGTGCAAAGCACATCGCCGGGTGGCTGCGAAACTGGACTGCGGTTGCGGATAGGGGGCTCGTGCCGCTTGGGACATGCAGGACACATAGGGCCTTGGGCATTTGAGGACTGCAAGGTACAGGGCTTACACAGGAGTGCTTGTTCGTCCCAACCTCTGTAAAAGCCATCGCTGGGAAAGTAGGATTAGGGTTTATAGGCCCTTTGCGTTGTCGGGAGTTTACGGCTTAGGGTTCAGAGTGTAAGTTGTGGCATGAACGAATGCTGAAAATGTGCCGCCAAAGGAGATGCTGCATCATCAATCATAGCAAGGTTCTTGGATGTCCACACAGTTTTTCTGGCCTCATCAGCGCAGTCGCCCACAATTGCAGCCTACGCCACTGAAACCGATATATGGCCTGCTTCCAGATCGCGGCATGTTCCAGCATTGAAAGGAAGACAGGCGAGGCGGTCTTCTCAAGTTGAAAGCACCTTGCAAACTGCATTTTCGGAAGCAAAGGCTGGCTCCACGTGTCGCGTCCGTGGACTATGTACAAAAGAGTACTCCGATGTGTGCTCATCCCGGGGATCGGACAAGCACACATGGAGTACTTCTCTTCTTGCAGTTGTTTCACTGTGTGAAACTTGTCACGGGCAAAGGCATGTAAAGGCTAAAGCTCAGCCTTCGCTTCACTGCATTGATCTTCCTGGCATTCGCGTTGCAGCTAGCACAGCTGTGGGACCATTCGTAGTCAGGAGGGGGCCTGGGCGGCCTGGGTTGGACAGGCACAGACAAACCACTCAGCGCGGCCGGGATGGAATAGCAGTTGCACTCTGCTACAGTGCTGCGCTGTCAAAAAAGCTGCCAAAAGCCAGTCAATTTTTGGCATGTCCTGACCCTCGACATCTCTTGAGAGAATTGAAATTGGCTGGGAGAAGTGCACAGTCGTGCCTTGAATTGGTTGGACCATCGCTTGGTCTCTGTCAGATAGAATGTGCTCCTCAGATCGTTGGCAGTTGCTCTGTACTGTCCCCGAGAAGGACAAGACCGGGAGAGAGGCGGCTTGGGCTCGTAGCTGCCATACTTGGCGCCTGCAAAGATGCAACAGATTGCAAAGCTCCCCCCCCCACCCACCCTCCCCACTCCCTTCCAGATTACTAAGGCCTTTCCAAGAGCGATGCCGTTTGGCGGGCTCGATCTGAGTGCCCTCTCCCCACTCATTGTAGGAGGTCACCTTTGAAAAAGCCATGAAGGAGAAAGACACAAAGAAAGACGGAATGTGCAAAGCAAGTGTCTGGGTGACCAGGCCGAGACAGCATGGGGTCGACCTCGGCTTCAAGCCCTGAGAACACATTGGGTCATATTCGGTCACACTGTCACATGGCCAAATCTGCCAAGTCGCTGCCCACTGCTGCAGACCACATTCGGTTGTAGTACCTCAAAGTTGGACTAAGCTGGACTACGCTGATCCAGATCCTACAGATGTTGAGAGCACATTGGCAGGCAAGCACCATCGCCCCATGTCATCATGCATATTCATGCATTGAACGCAGTAGGCCACACCCCAACTTCTTTCCGAACTGTCGTCTGCGAGGCGAGTGCCCGAGTGCTGCTTGGTGCTACTTTTTCTTGACACCTGCATCGGCCCTGCCAGCTTCATGCCAATGTCATGGCCTTGTGCCCTACGCGAGTCCATGCACCTCTTGATTTCTTTGAGTGTGCACTAAGAGCGCACATAGCGCATAGCGGCATAGCGAGACGGAGCTCTGGTGGCGCACTCTCCACCCTTTCTTTCTCGGATGTTGTGGGAGTTCCAGGGTCGCACACGCGTGTCATCGTACCTTTGGCACTGGCGGGGTCATTGCAAACACATTCCTGTCAAACCCATCAACTCTGCAAACCTGTTTTGCGGCCCCAGGCACCCAGGTCCAACTGACGGCACAAAAAGCTTCCCGACCTTCTTCAGTCGCCTGGGCACCGGAGATCAATAATTGGCAACACGAAGCAATGCAGCTGCTTGCCGTACCACGGCTTCCCAGCTTCGTCTCTCCAGAGACATCTTTACACACGCAGGGCTCTCGTGTGATTGAGACAGCGGCGCAGCAGTGTCTTTCCAACTCTTTGTGTTAGAGCCTGGTGTGAACCCCTCGGCTGCAAAGTAGGTGTACCTGCGCTCAAGGCCTACGTAGAACTGAACTGGGCTCTAAAAAGCTCCGCTTCAGCATGAAACATTGTGCGGGGCACGCGCCATCAAAGCCTCCATCTTGAACAAACCGAAGATCTTCTCGACCCCCGCCATTTCCAATCCAAAGGCACCTTAACCGTTTTCGCAGAATCCTGCTGTGTTCAGGCTTGAACTAAAGGCAAGACTGGAGTGTGTTCAATGTCCGCCTTTTGGTTGATGCTCTCCACAAGACTCTACGAATACACTAGCCGAGCCAGGATATGCACATCCTATGTACACTCTGAACTTCTATGCGGCCAGTTTCAGCCACACGAGTAGTCCAAGACATGTGCAGGGTGAGACATTCTGAGGCATTCCAGCCCACTCACTACTCACTACTTATCCTTCGTGATGGCCACTCATGGGCAAGACTGAGGCAGCGTAAATGGCCTTACAGATCAAGTCAATGCTGAAGCTTCCTGAAGCTTCCACAATCAAACAATCCCCAAGCCATAAATTCTTCACAGACATGAAGGCCCACATCTGGACTTGCTGCGCCTGAGACACTGCATGCCTCTGTCATACCTTTTCGTCGAGGTGCAGGGAAGCTCTGGAACTTGAGAAAATCAGCTGCGGGCAGGAAGCCGAAGCCTGGCACCAGTTTGCACCATGCAAGATTCCATAACGTTCCACGAGAATGCACAACAAGTTCAGGCACTTCCAAGCACATCCGCGAAGCATCCGCGGGTCATCCGCTTCAAAACTCCTGTTGTGAGAGCGCTTGCCAGCCTGACGCTGGAAGAGGCGGAAGTAGAGGCGGGCGGCGCAGGCGCCCGCGTCCCCTGCCACCTGCCCCGACAGCATCGAGAAACAGAACGAGAAACCGGACTCATGCGTTGCCAACGAGTTTTCCTATAGGGGCTAGGTTTTGGCTGGTATGTTTCTGGTTGTCACGCGTGCCGTCAGGGGCTTGGGGTTTAGAATATATGCATTTCCGTTCTTCTGGGATTTCAAGGCTTTTAGGGCTCAAGTGGCCCTCCGACTGCTGCGACATGCGAGACGGCTACGCTTTGGGCTTGCACGGTTGGGTAACGGATTCTTCACGAAGCCCCCCCCTTTGCAAGCACAATCCCTGTGAAAGATCTTCTAAAAAAGCGGGGAGTTGGGGGGGGGGGGGGGGGCCTCCCCCCATTTCCAAACACAATGCTCGCACGACGGGGTTGGGATTCAGGTTTTGCAGCAGTTCCTTTCGATGGCATCCCGTTCTCCCTGGCAAGCTTGATTTACATGAGCCGGGGGGTCGGGAGAAGGGAGGCGCAGCCAAAACTTGTACGCTGCTGGCATGACGGGTTTAGACAGGATTGCGCTTTCGAAGCAGCCTGGCAAGCTTTGGGAGCTGTCCTGCATAGAACCTGTCACCTGACTAAATTACCCTAACTTGGATGGATAGTGTAGAGTATGATGGATAGCAAACTCCCCCGACTGACTGAATGATCAGCGGCCGCCCGACTTACCGACTCAGTCGACTGGCTCGCCTGGTCGACAGACGAAACAACTACTGACTGATCAACGGCGACCGACCGACTGCCCGACTGGGTCAGTTGGTCAACGGACGAACCAACAGAAAAAGAAACAGCAAAAACAACCGACACCAGAAAAGGACCCCCACCCTTTCCTGTTTATCCCAGACAGGCACGTAAACATGCTGGCTGCCACTGCGGAGGCGCTGAAGAGTGCACCCTGCAGTGAAGGGAGCTCCTGGAAAGAGTCGCAACGGGCGCATGACACGTGCAGATACGTGCGGCCGACCTCTCACAGTTCTGCTGTTGTACACAGTTCTCATGATTCTGATGTCTTACCTGCTTCAGGCCTCAATGCTTTAGGCCTTGAGGCGCTACGCGCGGTGGCACTTCCCTGTCCTCTGGCGGGAGCAAGTCTTCGCCACGTGGTCTGCGGAGCAAGGCCTCAAGCCTGCACTGTCTCTTGCTCTCTTGCAACGCAGAATACGCAGCGGACATGGCGCATGTGCACACGAACTATAAGGTCTTTGAACGAGCAGTGACAACCTTGGGCCAAGGCCAGGGGCCGGCCTCACTTGCTGCAGAGCCTCATGAACCAAAGATCTAAATATCTACTTCCAACAGCACAAGAGATATTGACGAGTCGCACACTCTGGAGCTGGGAGGGTGGCTGAACGGATCACGGCAAACCATCGCCACAAGCAGCCTGGCCTCCCGTCCCGCAAGGTTCTCGCAAGTATGATTACCAGCAAGCCTGCTCACAACGTTCCCTGTAGCAGAGGTATCATGCAGTGCAGATCTCAGCACGAGACCAGATGTTGGGACTCGGGCTTAGGCAGCCTTGCGCAGAGAGGCGCTGCTTGATGCTCTGGAATTTGCTCTGCAAGACTTTTCATGGCTCCACTCGCCGCAGTGCCCGCTCTCGCCGCGAGTCGGACGGCCACACGTAGCTTCAGCCAGGAAGCCGAGGCCAGACCGCATCCGCATCCAGCCCTTGGGGCAAACCCCGGTTAAACCCCTGTTGCCATCTGTTGAAACCTGCTGCATTTGTTCAGACCTTCCGAAACCTCCCAGCCAAGTGCCACGCGCTGCAGCACTGCACGGAGCGTCTTCTCGTTTCCCAGGCTGAAGATGCACTGCATCGCCAGCTCCTTGTCTGATCTTGTCACATCTTGATCATTCGTGCCTTGGGCCTTGACCTACGAGTAGTGCCTGTGCCATGCCGGTGTACGCCTTCACAGAGCTGGGTACAGGGCCACTCGGCCCGCAGCCAAGTAGTCAAACACTCCCGCAAGCAGCGGGCAGTCCTTCTGAGGATTCTGCCACGAGACTGAATTGACTGAACTGAGTACACGCGTCGTGCAAGTCCTCCGAGCCAATCACTGTAAAGCCATGCGACTGCGGACACACCTTGTCAGCAATTCTGTCACCAATTGGTCGGCACTGCTCGCATGCTGAAACCATTCCCCTCCGGCCCAACTGTGTTGGACGATGCAACGAAACTGCAACAAATGAATGCTTGCAAATGCTGTGTCTTAGCTGACCTTGCCCTATTTTGCAAGACCGCAGACGAGCCAGAGATCGTGCAGGCAGGTCCGCATCATGAGCATCTTTGACTGGCAGTTTGTCTAGCCAACTTGGCACCGAAAACATGACTCGCATCGTGCACGCTGGCCAGCATCATGAGCACTGCCCGGCATGATGGCGTGACCGTTTCCAATCCTGACAGCTGGGTTGTCCAGCTACGTGCAGCTTCCACGTTGCGGATCGCTGGAGGGGACTGTTCTGTTACAGCTGAGCAAGCGTTGAGTGCACCAGATTGCGCTTCCAGGCTTTACTAGCGAGGCCAGCGAAAACCAAAACAAAGCCATAAAGGTCTGAATTTGAGAAGAGCACCTCTGTAAGGAAGCCCGGCCTCAGCAGCAAACAGGCAGCAGGCCAAGCAACATGCGGTATCGCCCAAAAAGAGCAGCGGCCTACTTCGCTACTTTTCGGGGGGGGGCGGATTTTCAGGAGCTGGCTCCGCAACTTCGACCACTGTATCCGCCACCAAACACTCTGGTGTCACCTGGGCCATCGCTGATCGCAAGGACCCTGGCAACCCACGTGCCCAGTGCCTCCGTGGAAACGTCTTTGGCCATCTTGGAAGGCACTTCTTTGGGCGCTTCTCTGGTCGGGGCTCTTGGAGGCGACATGCGCCCAGCCTAGGCGAGACCGCCAAACTCATCATCTCTTCTTCACGACAGTCCACGACTACACTGCCGATGACTGCCGAGGACGACTCTCCCGACCGCGACGGCGTCCTGACTGTCAGATGGAATCACAACACAACTGCAATCGCAATCAACACCATAAATGTCATTAATACTCATCGTCCGTCGGCATCATCACCACCATCACAATCGCCATCGCCATCATCGTGATCATGATCATGATCGCTCGTTGTCTTCACCATCATCATCGTCGTGATCGTCATTGTTCTTGATGTGTGGCTACGCTTCTCCTTCGTTCGTAGCAATAGTGATTAATCTTTGCCTTCATGAGAACCTCTACCATCATCGTGAACCACCATGCCACAGTCTGTGGCAATACATTTGCCTCCAATCTCTTTCATGCTGAATGCCTATTGGATAGAGCTCCACATCATCGTATCCCATCCCCAGCAATCCTGGGAACAGGTCCAGCAGCTGTGGTCCGAATGTCCACGAGCCGCACCGCCTGTGCCGACATTGACTTGACATTGACTTCACAAGAGCCAGGCTTCCCCGAGATGAGAAAGCAAAACATGTAAACGCTATGTAGACTGCAAAATCATCATGGCGACCCACTTTCGCTTTTGGGAGGTGAACCTCGGCAGCTGTTTCCGGCGCTGCCTGCAGTGCCCCACGAACATGCCAGGGCACGAAATATGTACGTGCGGACAGAGGCGGCTCTGGTGCCTCGAAGTGCCAGGATGTCGACGTGATCGAAGGTGATCGGTTCTGCAACCTCCACGTACGTTCCAGCGCTGCGTCCAGTGTAGCGTATGAGAAAAGAAGCTATTTGCTTCATGCCTCACGTCCTCCTCCAACTGCGAGGGATGCATGGTCGGCCTGGGCACGGCTGTGCAAGCATTCCAGCACATTGCAGTACATTTCAGAGTCTTAAACGCAGCACAGACCTTTTCCACATTCTGGCGAGGAAACCGTAACTGCATCAACAGCGCTACTGTACCTGCAGCTTTGCCGCAGCCTGCACCGTCGTGATGCAGCCGTAACTCTACACGGACTCCGAGCGGTTTCTTTGTGATGCCGCGCAGGCCCTGCCGTTCTGCCACTGCCCTTCTGTAATCTAAGATAAAACGCGCACCAGACCTCACCACCAGACTCCACAGCACGTCCACGCACACCCCATAGCCCACTGCACCAGACCACACCTTGGACCTGTCGCTGGGTGGTTTGCTGAACCCAAAACGTGAACACAATACCACTGCGCCACGCCTGCGCCACCCCCAACACCACCAACACCACCAACACCACTACCACAACTAACACAAATACCACAACTACCACAACTAGTTGTACCACAACCCACCATGCCCTGCCACGCCGCCAACAGCACCAGACCAAGATTCAAGCGTATGCGAAAACATG